CCCACTTGGCAGCCGCGAGGGCGCGCCCAAGGGCGGCCTCGCCGGCGCGGCCGACGGGAGTGGCGCGCACCCGCGCCCCGATGGTCGCCGCCGGCGACCAACGGCGCGGCGGAGTGGCACCCGAGAGAGAGGAGGAAAGGGGGAAGGCGAACGGCGGTCTTCGGCTCACCCCGGGACAACGACGACGACGAGAATGGCGGCCGGAGCGGAGGAAGACGGCGGCGCGGCTCGGGATGACGATGGCGACGGCGCTCCGGCAGTCGACGGGCGAAGCGGAGCGGCGGACGGGGTCGGCAACCACTCGGCGAAGCCGAAGGAGGTGGCGCCGAGTCGGGAGGAGGACCGGAGCGACGACGGCGGCGAAACGGAGCTCGGCGGCGACGGCGGAGAGAGAGGAGCACGGCGCGGGCACGAAACCGACGGCGAGAGCGAGCGGCGAGCGGCGGAAACGGAAGAGCGAAGCACGAGGGACGATTTTATAGCAACGGGAGGGGGAGAGCGCGGCCGGGGAGAGAGGAAACCGCGCGCGGAGATCTCGGGCGCCATTGAAGACGCCGGCGAACTTCGCGGGATGAATCCGGACGAATCCGAGGGAGAGAGAGAGGGAAAAGAGGGGGAATCGGGAGAGGGAAACGCGGGGAGTGATTCCCCTCTCTTTAATGCGCGCGGGGACGGCGGGATGCGGCGCAATCCGCGGCGGCGGCGGCGCTAGGGCACGGGCGGCGGCGGGCGCGGCGCGAGGAGGGAGATGACAGGTGGGCCCCACCCGTCAGCGAGAGCGGCGGGCGGGCCCGCCTGTCAGCGGCGCGCGCACGGGGGAGGAGCCGATGGGCCGGGGGGAAAGAGAGAGAGAGAGGGAGGGAATGGGCCGAGCCGGCCCAAGAAGGGAGGAGGAGGGGGAAAAGACTTCTTTTAGGGTTTTTCTTTTTATAAAACCTTTTCAACTTTGTTTATTTCTTCTCAATTATTATTTGTGCTCTGAAAATTCCACTAAAATTTGAGGGCTCCTTTTAGACCAAGGAGAATTTAACAAAAATTCTCCGGGTCACATTTGAATTTTTCTTGTACGTATTTTAGTGTTTGCCAATTTCTTTTCGAATTTTAATTAATTCTATTATTCCTTTTAGAAGATGATTTTTATTTCGGGATGAATTTATCAGGACGTGACATGCATGCACCTACATATGGCACCAACCCATGGCAAGAACAATCCATGGATTACAGTGGTACGCACAGCCATCATTCTCCATACACATATATCGATGGCATTTTCATGCCATACATGACTCCCACTTCAACTTAAGACAATAACTCTGTGACATTTTATATGGATGCAAGGCATGTCGTTTGGTGGTGGAGTACAGGGTTATATGGACTTGTTGCAACAAGGTGATTGGCTATTTGGTCAATATTCCTCGCATCCTAATGAAATTCCATATATGCAAGCACCATCAACAGGTTTGGATTTTTTTTTGTGTGTTATTGTTGTTTGCTCCAGCTTTGATAATTTCATTGATATCTACATTGCTTATGTAGGGTCATTTCGCCCTGAACTAATGTCAGGGTTTAGACCTTACACTGCATCGTACGGCGACATGTCCAGCTTCAGTGGAGGGTTGTCATCGGTACCCAATGAGCTTCGGACTTCACAAACTGATGATGCACCCCATGTGACACAGCCCACACAACCAGAGGTTGGCAAAGGAAACGACAATGACCCTCGTAGATCTAACCGTGAGCGCCATGAGCCAAACCGTCTGTCACTCTCAGGCCCTCGACATGCCGCAGGACAAAGGAAAAAAAATTACAAAAAAGCGAGGTGGAACATCTAGGACTACGACTGACCATGATAATGATGACGAGTAGAAGTGAACATTATGTCTTTCAGTTCACTGGCAACCCTATCTGAACCTTGCTGTGATTTTGGCTTATTCTTCATGTTATTTATACTGCAATGAACATTATTTATTTGTACTGCTTATTCTTCATGTTATGTATGATATTTAGTAGTTCATAAATATCTCATATTTTTATGCCCTATTTTGTAGCCAGTTAACACATATGATTTTTGGTTAACTATTAATTTTTTGTATGGGAGCTAACAAAAATAATAGTCTCACAAACTAAATTAATAGTGTAGTTTCGATGTTACTCGTGCGGTTAAAATTGCATATTACTTTTACTTTTTACTACTATGACTTAAATTACCCACTAATTTCTTTTCACAGAGTGCAATGATACGCACCTAAAAAGGCATCCTCTCTTTCTAATGACGGGACATGCCACAGAGAATCAAATCATTCACAATTAAATTTTGAAGATTCTGCTGCGCTGCGCCGAAAGTGACTTCGTCGCTTTGTAATTAATAAAGCAAACAGTTATGCAGCTTGTGCCGCCGAAAGTGCTGGTGTCGCTTTACAATTAAGCATGTGCCGCTGAAAGTGCTGCTGTCGCTTTGCAATTATTAACTTCACGAGTGAAACAGTCTGACGCTATTGAATTGATTAGTCTGAAGCAAACAGTCCGACGCGCCGTCATCTCTTTCTAATAATTGAGACTGCGCAGCTTCTTTCCATCCCCTATAAATAACAACCAAACCTAGCACACAACTACATCTCTTCTTCATAACCGTTCTGCTGGTTCCAACTTCGTGTTGCATATTCTTAGGCCCGGTCTTGAGGCAGGAACTGAGTAGTTGGTGAACTCGCTCTATGTTGTTCGTTCACTCGCGACACAGTTCCTGTCCCAAGGCTAAGTCTGTGAATATATAAATGTGATTTTTTTTAATACATTCTTACACCCACTCTTTTTTTCAAGTTCCAGCATCCGTTTGTGAATATGACCTACTCCTGCAAATTCATAAACTCGGAGTTGCATATTCTTAGGCCCGGTCTTGTGGCAAGAACTGAGTAGTTCGTTAACTCGCTACGCGGTTCTTGTCACAAGACCGAGTCTGTGAATATGCAAAGGTAGTTTTCTCTATGAATATGACATATTCTAAATTCCTATTCTTTGTCAACTTTGTAAAAATTGCTCCCGAATGATCTCTCTACTCCTTTATATGTTTTTAATAAATATATATTCAATTTATATTTTTCTATAGGTAATTTATTGTTTCTTTCTCTGATATCATTATTTTGCAAATTCCAAGATATTTATTTTTCTTCTCGTAGCCGCATACACAATCTTTGCCTATTTTCAATATAAACATATTTCTCATGTTCATTTATGTATATATATATATATATATATATGTTGCACACATAATAAAAAATTATGAAAAAAAATATACTTTCTATCGCGCACTCGAAGCGCGAGACCGCTTCGTGTCCCGCTTACGTCAGGCGGCATCAGACGGACCACGCTATCGCTTTACAAAAACGCAACACCGCCTCGCTCTCGCGCTTTAGGACCGCGAGACCGATGCATTAGCGCTCCCTCACTCCCAATTAGCGATAGCGCCACCGCTTTCACGCACGCATTACGCGATATCGCGCTATCGCTGTTTCAAACAGCGATGCTGGTATTATTTCCGCAAATCCGCCCCTAATCAGCTTATTCTTGCAATTCCGGTCAAGAACACGATTACTTTCAAAAAAATTTCAGCTAAGGAATAGAGGTAAAGTTGCATATATGTGTTTTTTGCACCCAAAAAATAGGAAAACAAATGTCCACTACAAATGAGAACAGTGGGAGAAAATTACTGCATTCCAAACACCCATCTATTCCTATTTTGTATTCTTCTGTATTCTTTCATTCACGTGCCTTATTTTTCCGACGTTTCAAATAATCCTTAAACCATTATTCATCTTCGCACCCTATATGGTATGTACCTTGTACCCTGTCTCTAGCTGTCCAGCAGCCTCACATGTGACATACTTACATCAGAACACCTTTTTACCTCCTACCCACACCTTTCAGCCGCTGCCACAGCTGTGTTCGTGTTTTAGCTTAGTAATTTGCTGCAGTCAGTTCCCCTCTTCAGTGGCTAGTCGACAAAGCATCCCAAACAATTGGATTGAAATCCAACGGCCACTGTCAATCTATTAGCAAACCCCCAAAACTAGACACAATATATGTAAACGCCTCTTCCATTATCTAAACTTCAGTGACTTCGGAAATTAACCTTTATCTTCCATTATCTAAACGTATCTCACTTCGCTGAAACAACCAAGTGCATAAACTGCGGAGCATACGAATATATGTATTTCCAAACTATACAAGCAATCAATTAGTTCATTAGAATTGGTGAATCTACATTATATATTAGGGGTGAAAACGGTACAGAAATTTTCAAGATTTCCGACTGCCGTTTCCAGTTTTCACCGACCGTTTCAGTCGGTATCGGCAACCGACTGTGGTAGAAATAGAAACGGTAATATCTTCTGGAAATGGGATAGAGGTTTTTCCAACTGTTTTATCGGTAACCATATTTGTACGGTAATTTCCGTCAAAATTCCGAAAAGATTGCAAAAGTTCCCTAGCGGCTCAATCAGCTCAATCCATCGGAAGCCCATAAATAAAAGAAGCATGGTAGGCATGTAGCCCATAAAGAAGGGGAAGTGATTAGGGAAAATATTGTTAACCCTATGATATGGCATGTGGATTTTCCTCAACCTATCGATGTTGAAGTATTGTTGAACTTTGTTTATATTGTTTGTCAAACTTATTACCATAACATTAATCATCATATAATAGTGTTATGTGTAATGTGATGATGCAAGAATAAAGTTAAAAATCATCTACGTGCATAATTAAATGTGCTATACCACACTCCGCTGATTCCGGACATGAATTTTAGACTTCCAGATCAATACCAGTATATTCCGTTTCGATGGTTCTGTTTCCGATATACCGATATTACCAATATCGTTACCGTTTCTGGGTATACCGTTCCAATTCCATTTTCGAGGAAAAAAATATGAAAACGAAAATGGTATAGGGTTTTTCAAACCGTTTTCATCCCTATTATATATATAGCTCAAACACTGTTCACACAATTATCACGAAAAAGGTTCCATTTCAAAACAAAAGGTAAGTTTTTGTACATTAAATGCAAACAAAATTGGTATTCCAAAAGCTCAAAGAACGACAAATGGTATAACCTACATAAACATTCCTACACATGGTTTACCTTTTAAAACTTTGCATCCTCTAGATCATCTCTTTATTATCTTGTTTATATTACATCTGCCAGAGGATGCCAGACCATAATTCTGTGTGAACATCAAAAGTTCAGTTACTAGTCGTGCCAGCCACCAGAGGAACCTGGATGTGGGTATGGATACTGGTTATGGAGAGCAAAATTCATGTCATCAGGATGCCGATCCCTCCGAAAGTCAGAAGCATTGTATGGGCCTCTTTGGCCAGTCCTATAGCTTGTTTCATCAATGGAGGGACTATACCTATCCATCATCGACCTCCCTGTCGAACCCAAAGAAGGCATTCCATATGAAGTGAAAGAAGGTTGCTGCTCAAATCTAGCATCTGGAGACCCAGAAGAGTATCTACTTGCATGCTGGTGATCGGAGGTAGCGTGTTGACCATACATTCTTATCTGTGCCCGAATATCATTGGCAGGTGGGTTCATGGTTGTTTGGGTATGATCATCCCTGATGTGCCTGCCGTACATTCTTATGTGTGTTCGAATATCCATGGAAGGTGTGTTAATTGCTGTTTGGGGAACCTCATCCCTGTTGTGTCCATAGTATGTTCTTGCATATTCCTGCACATCTCTACCAGGAACTGGATTCATCTGAGCAGACTCACTACTGTCCATGGTGTAATCCTCGAGGTTCTGCCTCCTGTAAAAGCTGCCACCGGTTCCACCAGATACTGAACCATAAGCATTAACAGTAGGATCAACAGCATACCCGTTCAGCTCTGGATCAGGACTATACATCCTTGAGCCGGCACCAACATTATCAGTCGAAAGGGCAATGTTATTTTCTACAGATGCAACTCCATATTCATTCACAGATCTGAAATAGCTGTCCTCAAAGATTGGCATCTGAAGGCTAGATGATGAGTGCTCTCCTACAAGATGATCGAAATGATTATCATGATATCTCAACCTCTCCAAGGTATATCCACTTCTACTTGATATTGGAGGTTCAAGGTTGCCTGATTTGTGTAGAAAATTCCTGGAATCTGAGGGCAAGATACTCATATCGGAATCTGCTTCATGTCCTGTCTTATCTGATTTCCTTCTGTCTCTTGAGCTATTTGAAACCTCTTTTGCTTTCATACTGTTGTGCCGAGACATCGGCAAGTCAGAATGTGCATCTCTCTCATCATGAACACTAATTTGATCTGATTGATACATACTGCTTCTGTTAGAAGCAACCTTCATTTCCTCGTATGCAACTTCTACTAGCTTTTCTGGAGGGAAGGCGTCTGCTTGTACTGGTTTCTCAGCAGTGAAGTTCCCGTTTCCAGATGTGTAGTTCTTATTATTGACATCATGATTCTGTGTAGCTCTATCCTCAAAAAGATAAACCAAATCTTCTTCATTATGGGAGAAAACATTGGCTTTGGTGTGCCCATGCTGTTCTGCTATTCTCTTGTGCTTCTGTGTCCAATCAGGGCGACTCCACAAATAGAGTGGGGGTGGAGATTTGTTCCATTGGTCAATTTGTTTGTCACTCACATCCAAAGAACCAGGTAAATAGAATGACTGCAATGTATAAACAAGTCAGTTACTATACCAAGCATGAGGAGAGATGTACAACTCAGTAGAGCTGTAAGTTGCATTGCACACCTTCCCAGAAAGTCTTTGATCATCTTCCCATACCAAATCATAAGGTTGCTGCTTTCGATCTAACCTGATAGCGTCCAGCAGAGGTGAAACAGTTAGCAGTGCAAAAGTAGCAGTGACAACAAAAGTACATTGATATGCAATGCTTCCCACAAACATCTTCATTACCTTTCAGCCTCCTTGGGAACAATTAATATGATGAGCTTTGGCTTGAAGGTCAACGCCTTGTCAATGAATTTGTTTGCAAGCATTGCTTTTGGTCCGAAAGGAGGATTAAGGCCCATGATCTACAAAATATTTAGTGACAATACAAAAAATATGAAACATTGTCCTTTCTTAAAAATAATACATGCTATTTTACTTAAGAGAGTGAAATTTTGATATCAGAGCAAAACTCCCTGAATTGGACTTGTAATATTGAACATGTACATACATAAGCAATCATAACTGAGTCATCATGTCAACAGTTGTATACTCGTATTCACAAGTCAGGATCATAATCTTGAACTTTCCCAAGTAGTGAATTTGGAACTAATGATTTATTTAGGGTAGTATTCTCAAGTCAGGATCATAATCTTGAACAACATTGCCCAAGTAGTGAATTTGGGACTGGACATTTATTTAGGGATAAAAGGGAAAAGAAAGACCAAAGACCATACCAGTTTAGATCCATGTGGCAGTTCCTTTTGGCGGACAGTCATCCAGTCCCTCTTTTCAAAACTGAAAGAGTTCTGCGGAGTGCCATGATCAATTATATCAGGTTCCAAAGTACAAGAAGCGCAACTGTTCAAAGTAAATGTGTTAATGGTTGTACTAGCTAAGAGAAAAGTGACTAGAAATAAGATCTCCAGAAAGGGCATCCCTCGCAGACGATAAATGCCATCCTATCATGAGTTGTGTGGTACATTGTATCAACCAGTGCATATGCAGGTGATACCAACCCTATTAAACTGAAATGAATAACTTGCGTGGATCAATTTATCCTATGGACATACATTAAATATGTTTATCAATACCTGCTAACTACAGGAATGAAACTCTTAAGATTTTCTGTAATAACAAGGAAAGTTCAAATAGATATAGACGTCAAAAGGTGCTAGGCAACATAATATGTGCAAACAAAAATGAAGCCAACCTTACAATCCAAAATATAAATAGGTTCAACCCAGCCCAGAACCAATAGTTTAAATTAATTAAATAAAAATTAAGAAAAAAAATAACTCATTCCAACACTAACACACAGCACTGTACCATTCTGGGTCCAACAAAACACACCTATTTCTAACATAACAAGGGGCACCAATAGCACCATCTAATGTAGTAAGCAGCAGACATAGCCATAATGAATATTCTGACCAAGATTTTGTATACATGAATCTACAAAGGGAACCAAGATTCATCTAATAATACAATGAAAAGAAATACACAGAATTTCAAAGGGTTCCATTAATAATGTATCAAAATGGATAAAGGCCATGAAAGTTTACAATTATATACCTTTGGTTGAATAACATCATAATTTTTGAAGTTGCATCTTTTGCCAACTTTATCAAGCTTTTCTTTCATGAATTGACTGAAATCATTTGTACCACAGGAGAAATCCACAATCTGCTTGAACAGAAATTGAAGCACTTGAGTAAAAGTACAATTGAAAAAATTGTCTTTATCTCTACTACTTAAAAGCTACCTCCCCTCACGCGTAGCACGCTACCATTCCCCTCGTGCATAGCGGTTACGAAAAAATATGTGTTTTAGGATAGATCCACAGCCAGCCCATTCCCAGTGGTATGGGCCCATTGTAGTACATACATAAAAAGGGGAGAAAGTTGCCATGTTCTTTCGTTTGCCTTCCCCACTTCCTCTCAACAAAACAAGAGTTAACAAATGTGCCTTCTTAGCATTTTTCTCTATCACGCTCTTTGGGCAAGGAGTCAACAGACCTACATAAAACATAACATAAAATATGTAGACCCTCCGTCCCAAAAATGAAGCTATTACTACCACTCAGGCCTTATCCCAAAATGAAGCTATTTCTCCACCTACCCTTCCCATCTCAACCAATCACAACCATTCTCCATTTAATTTGTCCACCTACTTTCTCTTCTCAACCAATCACAACCTCCCCCAAATCATTTCCACCCACTATCTTGATACTTGTGCCCGTGGCTCCAGAAATGCTTTCATTTTGGGATAGAGGGAGTACTATACAAAGTCCAGCAAAAACATTAGCTTAGACAACCCACCTTAGAGCACCAAAGCCTCTCAACATGTTCACCCTACGGGGGCTGCAGGAGCAGCACAGCTACCCTCTTCCTTCAATTCAATCAATATGATTGAGTGTCCACTGGCCAATGCTTAAATCTCTCACTAAGAGTGCTTACCGTGTTTCAGGATCTACATTGTTACTCTTCTGTATGGTTTTTATTTATCAAGCATCAAAACAAAATTCACAATGCAAGATACAATGCGACTAGCACAGCCAATGCAGCATGAAGAGATTAGCACACATGATGACAGAAGATTCAGGTTATTGCAAGTGTGCAACAGGAGTGCCATCTGTGCCTAATTTTGTCAGTTGAATGTTGAAATCAGCAGCAACGATCCCAAATTTCTTTTATATTTTTTTCTCATAAATTTTAAAAATAAACCCAATCCCATATTAATTCCAATTCTAGATCTTTTTGGCTATGGCCACTGAAGCTGGCACAGCAAGACAAGTAGACAACGCTATCATGCCAGATTTAAAATCATGGCATGGCAAGGTTTGGCCACATCATGTTGGCTGGCTTAGCAACCAAGGATGCCACACCAGCAGCAGGTGTTAATTGATTTTAGTTGTATGAATGTATCATATGCATGGAGCACGCATCATAAGATGAGAACAAGAAGGATCAGCTACCACTGGACATCGAATTCTTGGCCAGCTACCAACAAATTGAAAATGGAGTTAAATAAAAGGCTGCAAACATGGAAAAAACAAAATTTAGAAGCCTTTTGTGCAGGATCAGCCTTAGGAAGATTTTTGTCAAATCATGGCAAGTAGCCTTGTGGCTGCACTTCACGTCAGTCTACAAAATAGTCCCTTTTATCTTCTTTCAAATTTAATAAGGGACTTGCATTTACTTACTACACTAACAATAGAAAATGCATTGTGTTCCTAGTTCTGCTCTGTTTTTCTTTGTTTCTCCGGTTTCTTTATCTTTGAACCAATGGTTCAAGAATAGACAGACTCACGGTTAGTTAGGGGTGATCTGTTAGTTAGAGGGGTGATGATTTGATGAGATACTGGACTCTGATCGATTTGTTCACAGCACATTTCCTTCATTCACATGATTACATATACTTGAATTGTTTGTCCTTTTTTTTCATAGAAACATTCAACTGTCTATCATAGTGGCGACGTGTAGTGTGAGTGTGTTATGTGGGAGGACATTTTTGCTCCTCTCCTTTGTAATTACTTTCAATTTTTCCTTCTAATGAAATGAAGCGCAGTCCTGCATTTTTGAGAATAAATAAATAAATTCTATTTCATGAAGGTTGGTGCTTCCTAGATATGAATTTATTGGTTAGGAATGCCCAGGAGGTTTGCAGAGCAACCAAGGACACACTCTACCCAAACTTGATACAGAAAGAAGGAAGGGAAGGACACACTCTACCCAAACTTGATACAGAAAGAAGGAAGGGAAGCAAAAAGAAGGTTTGAGTGGTATGGCATTCCACATAAGCAAAATCAACATCATCAGTAAGCTACATGTGCAAAATCAATTGAAAGGGTCATCTAGATAGTTTTGGATAGTGTAGACCTGTAGGGGCTTCTGGTTATATAGTTTACTGATTAAGTGCTACTCTGAACTTGACAAAAGAATCACTTAGGACCATTAATTAATTAGTACAACTTGGGATAAGTTGCACACTTTCATGAATAGATGACCATTAATTAATTAGTACAACTTGGGATAAGTTGCACACTTTCATGAATAGATAGAGTGGACTAGACAAATGGCAACAGTTATCAGTAGGTTTTTTGTTAATCTCAGAACACTAGCTAAATCAATTGAAAATGTTTCATACATATACATATGGATGTTATCTACACTATATTACTATGCATACTTGTTGGTTGTTACATGACAAAGTGAACGTACCATATCTCCAGGTTGCACATACCAATGAAGCTTCTCGGCAATCTGTACCAAGAAATACATAAGTCAATGCCTCAATGGCAGACTATATAACTCTCAAGAACGGTGTAGAAGGTTATAACAAATAATAAATTATGAAGAAAACAGAAATAATCAGTGTAGAATTAATTGTCCTTTTGTAAGCAAGGAAACCCCTTCTCATCCAATCTGCCAGTAAAAATATGCAATTTTATTTTTGTCTACTACCTGTTAAGGTGTTATATTATCCAATCTGCCAGTAAAAATATGCAATTTTCTTTTTGTCTACTACCTGTTAAGGTTTTATATTGTTGTTTCATTTTAGCAATGCCATCTGAACAAACACTGTTGATTAATATTAGTATGTACTCCCCTCCGTCCCAGAATGGAGCTATTTCTAGAGTTCAAATTTGCCCAAAATATAGCTATTTCTCCATCTACCTCCTCAATTTAACCAAACACAACCATTCCCCATTTAACCAATCACAACCTTCCACCACTCAATTCCAACTACTTTCTTAATTCCCATGAAGATCTCTAGAAATGCTTACATTTTGGGATGGAGGGAGTAGTTCTCTCAAGAATACTTAACAGTTTGAAGCAATAGCGATAGGCAAGGGGGCCAGATTTGGTCTGGGTCAGCATGGTGGTGGTTAGGAGCAGCGCAAGTGAAAATGAGTTTGTGCTGAAACTATATGAAGACCATACCAGGGTTAGAGAAGAAAGGGAAGTTGGGAAGAACGGAATAATCATGCAAAAGTAGGGAGTCCTTCACGCTCTCAAAATATCATCAGAGCTATTTTAACCAGATGGCAATGGCAATACCAAAGAAAGCACTAACTTAACAATAGCAAAAGAAGTTAATATTGTTAATTACGTGTAGAACAATTGTAATTGGGGTTCCACTGGTGATAAAGGTTATTTCTGTTTCATTTTATTTGTTCTTTTGATATGTTTCTTAAGGCATGATTTTCAGAGAGAGCACATAATTGTCAAAACTACAGCTGGGACTGCTGTGCTGGGTGCAGCTTTGATTGCCAAACCTTGAAGCCCAAAATCAGCCAAGCAAGTAGGAAAAACTGGGAAACATGCATATATGAGCTGAACTGTCGTATACTTTTTTTTTTCTGGAACAAACAGTGAATGTTGCTGACATGATGCTTTCCAGCCAAATAGTCAAGAAATTCACAACTAGCACTTACTGCAATACTTACATGTCATATTGTTAGATTGATAAGTTTCCTTTCATTAGTAGTTCTTTAACAGTAGTTAGAGTCCATGTTATATGAGATATGTTTGTTAGGGCCAGGCCTCTGACTTCAAGCCCATGTAGGAATCCAATAAGAAAAACCTTTCATACAACATTTTAAAAATAGATGATATTTTGTTCAAAATGCAACCTAACTTCGACCAACATAATATCTAGATTGATAATACAAGAAATAGGAATTATGAAACATACTTTCATCCTGTAAGCCATGCCAATGTGAAAAGTAACATATTCTGTGAACTCCAGTAAAAAAGTTCATTATGCAATCCAAAATAGGCTTCGGATATGAATATACCTCAATGAGCTTCTCCTTCTTTGTAAAATGGCGTCCAAAAGACGTGTAGCGCATGCCATGAATGAAAGGTGCAAGGTAAACTCTGAGCTTATTCTGGTCAAAACATGATATATAGAACATAGTATTTAATTAGTGCACTGGGAAGCTAGTGGCGTAATATGTTTTGCAGCTGATGAGAAACTTAAGATCAGCATAATAGCCAGATACAGTAACATCTAAGAAGTACTTCCACCACTCTTCAGACTTAATATTTTCTTTACATGATATCCAATACACAACATTGACCTACGTCTTTTGACAGCATATTCATGAATGAAGAGATGAAAAAAGATTAGGATGCCAAAATTATGTTTAATAAGACGCAAAAGATAAACTTATTAGGATTGTTAACTTACAGCTTCCATGGATAGTTTCAGTGGATGATGGGAAATGTATTAGAATTTATGTTTGCATTGATCAGAAAGAAGAACAGAAAGCCCTACCATTAGCATAGCACAGGTCCTAAGGAAGATCATTATTAAGAGAGATATCAAAAGCAGAGTATCCACATACATGCCATCTTGTTAACTGCCTCAAAACTTCAGATTCACATACTGCTTTAGCGTCATCAACAGCGCCTCCATTTTCCAGTTTTTGTAAAGCAGCTTTCACTGCCTACAAAAGCATATCAATATATGCTGATAAGAATGAGTACTGATGGATTTTCAGGTTGGCAATCTACCACTCCTGGAATTTTTGCTCATACCTGAATTGAACGCTCAAGCTTGCCTCGTACAACAATTTTGTCAATCTGCCGGCCAGAGCATGCATAAGTTGAAGGAATGACACACCTTCTAGAGATATCAGCCACTGTTAAGGAAGAGACCTCCTTTTCTACCAAAGCTGATATCCTAATATAGAACAATAAAAATCATAATCAACTAGGAGTCTCAAATCTGGAAATTAATTATGATAATAAGGTAAAACAAAAAAAAAGTTTTGGAAATTAATTATGATAATAAGGTAAAACAAAAAAGGAATGCTACACCAAAAGGATATAATTAAGATTGTTGTTGGATGCATAATTACAAATATCATCTGCTTAGGTTTTGAAGTCTTACAAATGTACATGAGTTTGTAGATAACAATGGTAAGAATCTAGCTCACAGGTCTATGTTTCAGCCCCACTTGTGGTCACGAACAGTATGTATTGAAGCATACCTTTACAAACCCACAAAGCCACATGTTCCCTTGGACAATAAGTGAGACCTTACTGTGATAGAGCACAAAGAGACCTTCTGGCAGTGAAGCATGTGAAGAACGAGCTAGTTATGCCTGTGCCTAGCATCATACACACGACACTGGAGCTAACATGCTAAATAATGTAACCAAAAGAATATTTGCAACTTGCACAATCTTTTGGTTTGTTCATCAACTTATTGTGCTTTTAATTCAATATACCCAACACCATATGCGATGGAACATTTTCTTTTTATTATTGTGTATTGCAAATGGAGTTTAACATGTTATGATTGTAAAAGCTTAATACTACCTATTTTAACAAAACATAATAGAAGATGCAAGAGAGAGAAGAGTTGGAACTTATTTTTCATGGTTTGACTGGTTCTAACAGTACGCAAACACCAATGAAGCAGAGCCTCTGCAACCTTTCCAATTCTACTTCATGTATATACCTTTGTAGACAACTAATCCTATGTATATACCTTTGTAGACAACTAATCCTAGATCAGAGAGTGCAGATCCTGTTACAAATATAAATTATGAGACAATAACAATCCTCAGGAACAATAATTGGGTAAGTCTTTTCCTCTTGACAAAATATAAGCATTGTCTTTTCCTCTTGACAAAATATAAGCATTTGAAGGAATGAACTGTCTTCTCCTCCTGATAAAATATAAACATATGCAGGCACTCTCACCATCTCACCATTACCTGTTGTATAACTCTCACCATCTCACCATTATCATTTATTGTATAGTGGTAGCATGAGTAGATCTGAGCAAAATAGGTTCAGCCAGACCCTGAACTGGATGGCTTAACAAGCCTGGATTTAGAAGCAGGGCTGGACAGAAATATCAATATCACTGGGGCCTTCAAAACAACTCATTTGCAACTTATTTGCTCATTTTATAATAATGGAGAATGCGTAAATGACAGGCTGTCTAGGCTGTCTAGCGAAAGTAGACAAAACTTCACTTTTTTTAATGGAGAATGTGACTTCACTTTTTTTAATGGAGAATGCGTAAACGATAGGCTGTCTAGCGAAAGTAGACAAAACTTAGCAAATCCAACTTTATGCCTATTTTACATCAGCCCTGCTTGGCCTGGGTTTTGCTCAGGGATTTAGTAGGATGTAGAAGGTAGACATAGAAGGAAAGAAGGATTGGCTTGATGAGCTATGTTCAATTATACTCTAAACGAAATAGCATCCATCACCAACCACTAACATATTTGCCTTGAGGAGAAGAAAAATATTCTGTTGCCCTCGCTGTTATAGTCTGTTTACATGAAACAATATATCCAACTGACTCACCTCTTCTCCGTTTCACTATCCACAATAGGGAAAGAGCTAAGAGGTATCTTCCCCATATCCAACGATGAAGTCCCTAATTCTTTTTCTCGTTCTTTCACAGGTCGATTTGCATTGTTTGCAGCAGCAGCAGCAGCACACTCAACCAAAGGTTCTTCAGGCTGTGTTCTCTTTTTCAGGCTCCTTGTTTTTTTCTTTTCAGATTCAAGAACTTCCTCAAATTCACTTTTCACACCAGCTTTTTTAGATTTGTCACCTTTTGCATTAAACTTCTCATTTAACTTTGCGCGCTTCTGTAAAGGTTCAGAAACATATGAATCATCACAAATCCGTCTTTTCTTCTCAGCTAATTCTTTGACTTTCTTCTTTGCAGAATAAGCTGATTTTTCAACATGAGGAAACTTTATATGGTCTCTGGGTGGTGTTCCAATATCAAGGTCTATTTCATGGTCCCTGTAACAGTTAATCAGATGTTAGTTTCTCCATGCAATCAGAACAGAAATATCACAAGAAAGTTTACATACAAGCAGTAGATCAGAATTCTTTTTGAAAGCTCCCATGCACGGGTTATGATGCCCTGCGTGTTAATATCTTCAAAGGAAATTTCCCTGTAAAATAATTTCAGGAGTGAGAAGACCAAGGAATGTCATATGCAATGAACTCAGACAGGGAACTAAAAATGTAAAAAATAAAACCTTGGCAAGCATTTTCTATGATACGATCTTGGGCAGCGTCTGCAAACAGCAAATTGCAGTGGTTCTTGAGTCCTGTCTTCTAGACCTTTACAATGAAAGCACCAATGTACAGGGCATGTAAATGAAAACCCAGCCATAATCTTTTTCTCCATTTCGGAAGCCTCATTTCTGCTGTTAGGATGAAGCAATTGCGCAACACATCTTGGGTGGTAGAAATGCCCACAGGTTGCATTATTACAGAGAAATACCTAAAGAAATTTGCAAGCGTCAACATTTTAAAATTAAAAAAATGACTTAGGATTAAGATAGACTCATAATGAACAACTTGACAGCTTGTATGGAAAAGCTTTTGTAGTTTTATTAAAATGGCATTTAGTTTTATTAAATTAAGTTTAAAAAGCTCAACTAGAAGATGGCAAGTCACAATGCGTACTACCATTTCCTATTGAAGACAGTACGAGAATACAGAGGCTAGAAGATGCTTTTTTTCCCTTTTACAAGCAGTATAAGAATTTGTACAACCAGTTGGAAATTGGTGAACTAGTGTATTTTACCTATAGCTACAAACCAACCTTCCCACTCTTATTTCATTCATACCTATCCTGTTTTGATTGAAGACAAGGCAGCTAACTGTTGTTCCCAAGTATCGACAATGAATCCATCTATACAAATCAATCAATGCCTGTAATGATTCTTGGTGCTAAAAATCTAAGGGTGACACAAAACTACCAGTCTACCACAAACTATGAATTATATGAACGATTTTTATTCTCCAGTGATGCATATTGTAAGTTGGAACTGTCTTTCTTTTTTTTAAGAAAAAGGATGTTGTCCTTTTGTATGAAGGATGTCTGTCATACATCCACAAGGTTTTGTTTCATGAAGTCAAATACCTTGGCATTTGGCCCATCCGAAGGCTCCAACTCTCCACAGACAAAGCATTGGTGCTGCTTATGGTCACAATTCTTGCACACAAAATTTTTTAGTGCCTAGAAAACATTAGAAAAGTATAACATTACAATCTGGAAAAAAGAGCAAGAATGAAGTATCAGTGCTCTTTAAAAGTAAAGTTCCGAACTACCTTGACTTCTGCCTTTGTGTACCCTAGGGTTGCACAGTAAGAATCTTCACCATCTCTTATTTTTGCATGGAAGGACCTCATACACGGACCTTCACAGCTACAACAAACCAGCACAAGAATACATTATTGAGATCAGAAAACTGATGAAAAATGTAGGAACATAGTAATATTCCATGTTCATGGTATCCAACAAAAATACACCATCTGTTCTAGGGAAAAATAAAAACAGGAATCATTTGCTAAGAATTTTGTTTTTCCATATCATGTGGGTTAATAACTCTGTTTAGATATACATGCAGTTTCATGCTCTATTGCCATCATCAAATTTCAAATGTGCTTGAAGATTTATAAAGATTCAAATTCAAACAAAACAACACATCTTCAATCTGTTTTAAAGTCCTCGAACAAAATTACAAAACACTTCGATGCTTACAATTGTGCATGTACATAAATAGAATTCCCATTATGATATCTTATGGAAAATTGGAATTACCAAAGCTTGCTTAGTCCATGAACTGGCCAAGTTTTGGAAAGGAAGCACTCTTCAGTGCAACCTTACCAAAGTTGGAAACTTACCAAGTGAAGGCCAAATCTTGACCAAAGCTACAAAATGTTTGTAAGGTATAGCACCCTTGCTCCTCCAATCATGGAAAAAATTCCTTATTTACTACTCCCTCCGTCATATAATATAAGGGATTTTGGGTGGATGTGACACATGATAGTACAATAAATCTGGACATACCGTATGTCCAGATTGATTGTACTAGGATATGTCACATCCACCCAAAATCCCTTATATTATGGGACGGAGGGAGTATTGAACATTAACCCAATCCCTTGTTTTCCATCAGAAAATTAATGTTCCCTTGTTTGCCACTGGTTTGTTTTTATCTTCTCTTATTTGCCACTTCCACCTTCTTTTATTTCTTTTTCTGTTTCTTTTGTGGAAACTGCAGCAACATGGTCCGCACATAAGCCCATAAGGCCTCAAAGCAAAAACCATGATAACCATAACACGGCCTGAACAGAAAGTACAGATTACCTGATCTTTACTCATAACACAAGCATTTGTACTTTCTAGTGCCAATCTATCCTTGGCCAATTGATACTTGTGTCAGTTTCCAAGAACAACCAAACTGTAGGTCTTTTTTTTTTTGTACTTAACGCATGGAAATACTGAATCAACCTAACAGATTTATCTCCCAAGTGTAGAAAGGAACATGTTTCAATAAATGACAGAATTTACATACTAGCACCCTGCAATGTCTGGAAACTCCTCCGCAGATAATCAGGTACTGATAAAAAGCATAGACAACTAGATCTTTACATGAACATCTATAAATGCTTGCCCAGCTGGGGTTTGTTTTGAAATTAGCTATACAGTGATTCACAACAAATACTACCACAAGTAAAAATGTTATGCATCAAAGTTGTGTATCCTCGACGTAGAGCGATGTTAAGTGCACCTATGAAACAAGAAATAAAAAGGATATGATGTACAACTATTAATTTATATTTTGTCACGAAGTAGATTTAGTTACTAAAAAGTTTCATACGTATCATCCTTAGAAGTCCTGCTAATTCCTAAGTTTCTGTAATATGCATGTAGGTCATGAAAATACTTGATGGCACTTAAGGAAAGTAGAAGAGCGCATACCATAACAGCTCCCCTCCATTATCACAGATAGCACAAACTGAATCAAACAAATCTCCATCCTCCTCATCCTCTTCATCATCATCATCATCATTGCTTGGTGCATCTGGAATGCCTTCTTCAACTATCTCCTCCATTTCATCACCAGCAGCAACCGGCTCTTGTTTAATGTCTGGCTCTTGTTTAATGTCTGGCTCTCGTTTATTATCCAGATTATTTGAACCAACCTAGTTGAAAATCAAAAGAAAAGTGAATAGAGAGACTAAATAAATACTTTAAAGGCCACTAAAGTATTAGGAAGGAGAAACCTGAGCTACCTCATTGGTCTTTTCCATAATCTTGTCTTTGATGAAGACTTGCAAAACCTGCCAGAAATTATGAAAGATAATCTTGTGAGCAATAAATAAAGAATTTTAAGAGATGTTAGATGTACGTTGCTAAAACCGTAAAATTGGTAAATGGTGCAAGGATGAAATAAGCAGTACAAGAAACAAGTGCTATGGGTGCAGGCATGCAATAAAATAATAAGTATACAGAATGCAAAAACAAGCGGGAGTGCTAAAAGCGAACAGCATGTCTGATAAGTACAAGGGGGGCGGCATGGACAGTAAAAGATAACTTTGACACTGACGCTGACCTATTACGATGGTACAGCAAAAGCTGTAAATCCTGCAATATAAATCAGGTCATCTTTACTCGGGGCGTTGTCATTGTTGTGGGTCCTTCACTTTCATTATTACATCAATGTGGGTTTTACCTCTAGAGATAGCAATAAAGCTTTTTCAGCTATTTGTAATTCGCGATTTAATCACGAAACGTGCTACTTCTAATGTTAGGATTGCTAAAAGGAAAATTTGGGACAAGGAACCCATTGTATGGGAAATACTTCAAGAAGTTATGAGGGGACATGACACAATTTGTCTGTATGCAATATGACAGAATTTACCAGTACACATTTTGGACTAAATCCTATGGAACACAAAAATTCACCTGAACTCCAAGTAGCCCACAATAAGAATTTGAAGAATCGCATACCTGTGAATTTGCTAAATCTGGGTCCCTCTGAGCAAAGAGTTTTATTAAATTCTGATGATTAGCAAAGTCATCTTCTAAGGGCCTAACCACAAATCTCCTGTGATGCAAGAAAGCACTAGTAAGGTCATTAGGACCTAATTATGACTACCCAAAAACAAATAAAGTAAATAATGTATTTAGCACATACTCAAAAACCCCATAGAGGTGATCCCACATGTCTTTCTCGGAATCCGTTGGCCTCCTTCGGACGAAGTGAAGCATTTCGACAGTGATCAGTACAGACCGGATGGTCTCCTCGTAGCTAGGCCTCGGCTTCAGCAGGGCAATCCAACTGCCCTCCGTCGAAAGCACCGCGATCTCAGGCGAGTCTCCATCTAGGACTAGCTTCCAGGCAACCACCTGCTTGTAGACTTTCTGGAGGCCGCCGTCGGTGAACCCCCGCAGGTACACATCCTTCTTGAACGACGCGACCCCCTCGGCCGCATCGAACTGGAACGGCAGGACATCGAAGGATACCGGCACATCGTTGTCGTCAACGAAGTAGTAATTCTCCACCGCCTTGAGCTGCGGCTCAAGGTCGTCGTCCGATGACATCATGGTCGCCGCAGTATCCCAATCCGCGATCTGAGGGGGGCAAAAAAAAACAAAGAGAAATGAAAAATCAGGCGCATTGCACAAGATTCATAAACGAATCATCTTATTATGCGTCCAAGCAAAGCAGAGGATTCCCATCGAAGAAGAAACCACATGGGGAATTCCACGGAGAAAAGGATACCCAACTAAATCGCCTGAAGGGGACTAGAAACAACTGAAGACCCAAAATTCTACCAAAACCCTAGAAAAAAATCCCTAAAAAAAGAGAGCGAGGAGGGCACACCCGCGGTGGGGGAGGGATCGAGATTAACCGGCGGACGGAGACTGGGGCGCGGGAGGTGAGAGGTGGGGGAGGATCGCGAGAAGGGAACGAACCCTAGAGAGATTCTGGCTTCGGTTTCGATTCGACTCGCCCGCCTCGCGCGGGTGGTTGGGACGATGATAAGGACAGGGGAGAGGAGAGGGGGGTGGGCCCGCGTGGTCAGTCAGACTCAGACTCAGACTCGGGCTCCGGTTTTTGAGGGTTTCTTTTTTTGTTTACGCGAGCGTTCGTGAGGCTTCGGCACGCAAAGCAGACACGTTTTGTTGCCAGAATCATACTATGCATACGACTTGTACATGCTGTGAAAGACTTGAACCCACGTGAAAATATTCCAGTAATAAACTGATTAGGTGGTGTTTAGATCTGGTACTTAACTTAGTCTCTGTATTTAAACACTAATTTAGAGTATTAAATATAGACTACTTATAAAACTAATTACATAAATGAAAACTAATTCGCGAGACAAATTTTTTAAGCCTAATTAATCCATAATTAGATAATGTTTACTGTAGCATCAGATAGGCTAATCATGGATTAATTAGGCTCAATAAATTCGTCTCGCGAATTAGTCCAAGATTATAGATGGGTTTTATTAATAGTCTACGTTTAATATTTATAATTAATATCCAAACATCTGATGTGATAGAGACTTAAAAGTTTTATTCCCATCTAAATAGGGTCTTAGTGCCATGAGGTGAGTGGTAGTCGTATTCATGAGTTGTATGTATAGTACCACTCTTTTATTATTAGTGTTTCTCACTTTTTGGAAGGACTTTCAATGGAAAGGAAATCTTTCTATTTCTGTTGGAAGATCCATTTCAGAGAACTAGATATCGTGCACGTGCAAAATACGTTTTGGCAATATATATGCAAAAGTAGAATAATAAATGCGACCATTTTTTATACAGCACTCCATATAAATTCTTTACGTAAAAAGCTTGCACTGTTTATTCCTAGAGTGACAATATAAGATGCAATGCACCATTCGCCTTCATTAGCAGAAATTCCAAAGCTCCATTTGAGTGCCTCCGAGGACAAAAGGATAACTAGACAGAAATATTTCATTGGTAAAAAAAAAGAGACAGCTTTGAAGTATCTGTGGCTGAAAGTCACTATGCTCACTTCTTCTGTGAGATTGCTAGCATGTTCAGCTGGAATTTCCACTTTTCTATGATCACTATGCTCACGGTTTAGAGGAATTCAACATGCCAATTTTCTTCATCTAAAAAATTCCACTTTACTTCAACTTAATTTTTCTATAGAATACAGTTGAAAATTGAACAGGTCTTACCAAGCACAAATCCTGTTAAACATAAGGCACATGGTTTTCGGGTAGCAAATTAATTGGAAAAGAAAACATTCTGAAATAGCACTTAAAAATTACAAAATACAGCTTATTTGAAGCAGAGGTTGGACTTTTCCAGCAGATATAGTAGCAACAGGTAAAATAGAAAAGAAATAAGAAAAGAAATGCTCAAGATGATATGCCTTCCTCATGCAGTGAGCTAGGGTATCTGGTTTGTACAATGAGAACACCCAAATCATCCTATGCAAGCAGCTCATCTTTTTATGACCACTGCCCTTCATAGACCTTGACTTATTTTCATGTTTCTCAACTTATCTATATCTTCCTTAATTACTGGTTTTCCCCTAAATTAACACTCAGAAGGCCCAATTTTTACATATTGCAAGCCATAATAGATGCGGTTGTAGTCCCATCACCTATGAGTCGTTTGTGTTGCTGTCAATATTTTGTTCGACAAAAATGGGTGAACATTGTTAGGAAGTAAGCAATGAATTAATTAGAACCATTCAGAGAACACTAAGCTAAGGTAAGAAATATACCTAAAGAATAAAACCAAGAATTGATCATGTGCATTAAAAAAAAACAATTGCTCCTGAAATGGTGATGTAAAATAAGGTAATTCAGTTTACTTCTTTACAGATGATGTACAAAGATTAATTGATTCTAATAGGATTGGTAATGTCAGGTGAGCTAAGCCACTCAAGTCGGGTAAATGATAACCAATAGAAAGCATAGCTGGCTTGTATAAAATGTTGGTTGCCATGCTTTTTCCATACAGATGAATTGCTATGTATAATAAACAAATAGTGGAAGAATATTAGGTTGATATCTCAAAGCAAGAAGATACATAGCACAATATTCTTGAAATGGAAGTGGCCATCGTCACTAATTATATTTGATAAATAGTAAACACTACATAGCATAAACCAAAATCCATACAATGACAGTAGTGCACATTATTTAGTGGCAATATCACCACTTCATCATCTTCAACTATCACCACTTTTGGCTCTCCTGGAGTGTTATTTTATTTTGCCATTTGCAGTAGCTCTTGCTTCCTAAAGGTCACACATTTTTCCATACATATGAATTGTATGTCTATGAAATAAATAGGGAAGAACATTATATTGATATCTCAAAGCAAGAAGATAAATAGCACAATATTCTTGAAATGGAAGTGGCCACTGCCACTAATTATATTTTATAAATAGTAAACACTACATAGCATACACCAAAATCCATAGGGAAAATTTGCCACGGGACACCCAAATTTTATGTAATTGGCTAGAAGACATCGTAAAATCTCGTCGCTGCTGATAGACACCATAAAATTCATGTAATTTGCTATAGGACACCCAAGACAATATTTAATTATTTCCGAGCAAAAACAGGAGAGAGAAATTTTAAAAAGATAAAATTGCCCTCGGCCCTATCTAACCCCACCATAGTCACACTTTTGCTCCTCACGCCACCCCTCCCCCCCCCCCGCCCGCCCCGTCCACACTCCTAACCCGGTGCAGACAGGCCCGGTACTGATTTCGATGATTGCTGGCGAGCCCCAGGGTAGTGGCTTCGGCAGTGGCTGGCAAGCTTGGCGATGGCTTCGATGATGGTCGATGAGCCTGGGCAGCAGCGGCTTCAACGACAGTGGTGGCAGTGGAGGAAACGGCTTCGACGATGGCCGATGGCGGTAGTGGCGGGTTTGATGGCGGTTAGTGAGTAGCGCGTGGAGACGGGGACTTCGATGACGGTTAGCGAGCCCGGTGGCAGTGGCTTCGACAGCGGCAGTGATGGCGGAGGTAGCGACGCTAGGAAGCGGGCGGCGGCTTCAATGATGGTCGGAGGCAGCGGTAAGCGGCATTGGGAAGCGGGCGGCGGTGACAACTTCGATGACGGTCAAAGAGCCCGGCGGCGGTTGGCGAGCGGCGCTGGGAAACAGCTACCGGCAATGGGGAATAGATAGTGCTAAGTGTGATTTTGTCTTTTTGATATTTCTCTCTCCTCTTTTTAATAAGAAATGATAAAATATTGTCTTGGGTGTCCTATAACAAATTACACAAATTTTGTGGTGTCCATCAGCAGCGACGCGATTTTGCAGTGTCTCCCAGCCAATTACACATTTTTTTGGTGTCCTAGGGCAAATTTTGCCAAATCCATACAATGACGGCGGTGCACATTATTTAGGGGCAACATCACCACTTCATCATCTTCAACTATCAGCACTTTCTGGCTCTGATGGAGCGTTATTTTGTTCTACCATTATATATTATGTAAGTCTTGCAGAGTACCATTCGTACACATGTTGCTATTTTCAGGTAAGGACTCCGGCGACATTGATGTGTCCTACTACTATCCCATCGAGGGTAGTGAGTAGTTGCAGCTTAGCTCTTGCCCGGTTGGTTGCCTTGTGGGTTGTTGCTAACCATGGGTGTTGTCTTTTGTTTTATTTATGTATTGAGACTTTCGCTACTATATTTTGTGATGTATGAAGGGCTTATGAACTCTATTATGTAATATTAAGTACTTGTTGTGCTATCATTTGCTTGCGATGAAAGTGTGAGGCTAGTCGCTTTTCCTAGGGACTAGCTAAGCATGAGTGAGAGTTTTGAGTAATTGAGATGATCGTGGAATGCAGCGTTTTGGTCATGTCTTCTAAGATATGTAACACATTTGGTTGCCGTCTTCGAGTGGTTTATCGGGCATATCTTAGGTTGAAGTTGACTGACAAGCTAATTCATCGAATATCTCTCTTACTCACCACCACGGCATCGTGGTTAATATAATGTAAAGTGTCAACCGTGATTATAGATACACTGAGGATGAGCGGTTATTTATGTGTTTATGGATCCCACTCATCCATCGAATATCTCTAATGGCTAAAAGTGTTAATGTGACTCCATGCATATATTATTATATCTTATTATTTTATAGGAGTAACTGTCCTTTAGTATGTACGAAATAAATGATAATTTTTAGCCCAGTCCATTCTTGTAACCAGTTTTTAAAAAGGGTCAAATTGCCGAAATTTCGGTTTGATCCAATTAACCCAAGAAAAAAAAGCCTTCAACAGTTGTTGTAGCTTCTACCGCAACTTCAATGCAGCTCACTACTTCAACAAGCCATATCTAGCAAATTCAAGACATATACAAGTATACAACTCTATAATTCAAGCAAACAACAACCAAAGCCCCATTGTAACTCTCAAACCAGCCAATATAAGAAACAGCAAGCAACATGGAAAAGACAAGCTGGCAACATATCGAAAGATACGAAGCAAAGCATAGGATCAAATGTAACAGCGAACTGACTTAAAATGCACAAGGCTACCAATAAAGTATGGAACAACTGCTTATTTGACCATGTTTCGAAACCCAACTACCAACCTGACCCTGCTTTTCAAAATCGAACCTCCCGTCTGACACTATTTCCATACACCGTTAAGGCTTCATTTAGATAAAAAAAGATAAACAAATATATTTACTATTCGAACGGACCAAAATACCCTCGAAGAGGGTTGAACCCTATCCATTCAGCCCAATTCCTCCTCTCTCTCTCTCTCATTCAGTCCAACTCCATCCATTCAACTCGGTGGCAGCACACATTGCATCCTCTCGGCGCGAGCGGTGGCACGCGTAGAAGGGGATTTGCCGTGCCACCGGCGCACTGATGGAGGTAGCGCCGACAAGCAGGGGAGCTCGGTTGGACGTGGCATCAGGGACGACAGTGGCTGCGGTGCACGGCGGCGGTTGCTGCACTCAGAGGGAGGGCCACGGTGGCACCGCCGTGCGAAGGAAGGGAGGGGCAGGATCGTCGGTGCACGGGGGCGGCAGTGGCTACTGCGCACGGCATTAGCGTCGAGGGCGACGACTGTTGCTGCACCTAGAGGGAGGGCCCAGATGGCGTCAGTGTGCAGAGGAAGGGAGGAGGGGAGGAGGGGGACGGCGGGTGCTGAGCGTAGCGCCAAGGGATGCAGCGGTTGCGGCTCTCAAAGGGACGGCTGCTTTGACACCAACATGCAGACGAAGGGAGTAGCGGAAGCACCATCGCATAGTGGTGCAGGGGAGGGAGAGGGAGGAGGTGCGGTGCGCACAGTGTAGATGTCGGGGAGGTGGCGGTTACAATGCCCAGAGGGAGGGCTGCAGCGCCGCTAGCGCCAAAGGATTGGAGCGACAGAAGTGTCGGGGGCAGTGGTTGTCAAAAATTGTGCCATAATTTTTTCAGATTTTGTTTACTTGATTTTGTCAAAAATAAAGCGAATGAAAGTCAAATTTAAGCCAAATTCGTCAAACTTGTCTAATATGTAAAAGATGTGTTAAATTTGTTACAGCTATGTCAAAAGATCCGAATATATGAACGTTTTGATATAACAGGGTCAAATAAAAAAAGATATAACAAGTAGGGCAAAAGGTACTATTTACCCCTTACTTAAGGCTGTTAACTCGCCTTAACGGAATAGGACCAGACAATTTTGAAAAGCAAGTTCAAATAAGTAAAGTATGAAAAGTAGGGCTAAATTGGTAGTTAAGAATGTACAAAATGGGACTGCAGTTCAGTCACTGAGATGCTCTTGATCGCTATGCATTAACATACATCAGTTAACTACCCGGACTAGGGTTCAACTTTGGTTCCTTCAGGCTTTCCGTTGGCTGACTACAAGAGATTAAAGGGGTCAAGAGGGCCAACAACCTTCTACTAGTAGGGCACATGCATATTCACAAAAGACCTGCTTCTACGCATGAAGTAGCCATCTTGTAGGCTAGCCTGACCTGGTATCTGATGGTTAGTCTGTTCAAGGTCAGGGACATACCTATCTGTAACTGTCCCTCTAGCTGAACTCCTGTGTTCCCAGTCGAAACTGTCTCGACGGCGGTAATCTGGTCCCCATCCATGATCATTCCTACGCCTACCATAAGCCGCCGCCTGTTCCTCCTCACCAAAATTTGTCTGAGGTCGATATGCACCATTGTGGTGCTCCTGAGGATAATATCTATCAACAGGAAGAGTGTCCATTCCATGGTAGCCGCACCCTGACTGGGATCCATATCCATCATACTCGGTATTGTATCTAGTACCATCGTACTCGGTATCGGGTGAATTACCACGAGGAGGAACTGTGCTCCAGTCTCTTTCAGAGCTGAAATGCCTTGATCTTCTACGTCTTCTTGGATAAGAAGGGGACCCACGCCTTGCAGTAGCACTATAATCAGGCCTTCTTGAATATGGAGCATGACCATTTCTTCTTTCCACTGGTACCTGGCGTCTAGCTGAATTTTCGCTCACGGTATCCCTTGACTCTAGTATTCTATTTGATGTCCCCCTCTTTCTGGACTTGCATACTGAAGCCCCTCGTGCTCTTTGATCATCATTATGCGAAGGACTTTTGACGTCAACACATTGAGGATGAGCAGTTCTATCATCTTCATGATGACCATCTCGCGCGTTTTTCATGCGAACGGCTTCTCTTTTCCTATCCAAGTCCAATCTCTTACCATCAGTCACCTCCTTTTGTTCCCTGGTTTTTCTTGAATTGTCACCTGAAGTATCCATTTCAGTTCCTCTGAGATTATCATTGCCGTGAGGACTCTTTGGCTCATGTTGAAGAGCATAATTGTCATCAACATCTACAGCCACATTGTATCCACATTCTTGCTGAGTATCTACTCTGTTGGTAGTTGTCTTGTGCACAAATGCAACATCTACATGCTTATCTGGAGGTAGTCCATCAACAAGATCTGGCTTCACTGTCCCCTTGTTGCTGCCATCCCTGGGAATCTTCTCTTTTCCTGATCTCATGTTCTCTTCATGTGTACTATCCGTCATTCTGTTTTCTCTCTTCGAGATCTCTGTCTTTTGACGTGCTGCAGAGTTATGCCCACATGCATTCTCTCCCCGATGCACATCACTCTCTTTTCCTGATGTCAAGTTATTTCCGCCTCCACTTCCATTAGCATGTTTCTCCTTATACAAGCTTTGTAGCTCATCATTCTGCTCTTGATTTGCATGAAAAGTAACTACATTGGGAATTATCAATCGTTCTCCTGAACAGTGCTCAGATGTTTGTTCTCTCTCGCTAGTGTCTTCTTTTCCAACTGTGAAGATCTCGTTATCCCCCTTAGCACCTTTGTCCACAGAAGAATCCTTCAACATGACACTATGTGCCTTGTGCCCAACATTTAAATGGCCATGTTTTCCAGCTATCCTCATATTCTCCTCTGTCTTGTCAGGGAAACTCCACAAGGAAACACAGAGAGGAATTACATGCAAACCATTCTTTGCGTCGTCATTCACATCCACATCACCAGGTTGATACAATGGCTGCACAACAAACTTCCAGGTTAAGTAACAGCAAGTATCCCAAAACTTCTGAGTAAATTTAAGACAAACCCAGTTTTGGGTATTCCTAACACCACCCCAGGTTTTGTATTTGTTTCTAAGGACCCGGTTTTGGGGGAGTATGTTTCATCATTTCATGAAACCCTGGTGTACACCTATATCATGGTATCCATGCACAATACTTGTTACAGAAATAGTATGCTGATTCTTTTCAGTGAGAAAAAGGACAAAGTACATACACATATTAGCCACCTTTGCAACAAATGTGAGTATATGGCTAAAAATACCACAAATTGGACATGAATATATTCCAAAAATCTGGGGTTTTGTGAAGCATTTTGTCCCGAAACAGGGGTTCCTTAAAACAAATTGTAAAACCTGGGATTTTAAATTGCAGATACCTCAAAACTCTAGGTCTTGTGAAATTTACTCAAAAATTTATCTAAATATTCAAAAAAAAAGGAAGATATTCACCTTCCCAAAGATGTGCTGATTATATTCCCATATCAAATGATAGGGCTCCTCCTTGCAATCCAATCTGTGTGTGCATCAAGCAGGGTTAAGAACCAAAGATCAATAGTAATACATCTCCATAAAACTGCAGCTATTATGTGAGAAGTGCACTTCTGCAATGAACTTTTCACATAATAGTTGCCTTTAGTTCGCAGGCATAAGCAGGAAAATTTCCTTTCCCTGTGATTCTAGGGGGAAAATATAGGAAGTTTAGCATCCACTCCAAGCTCATGTTTTTGCTAGTTCATGTAGGATCAAGGCAAAGTTACTACTCCCTCCGTTCCAAAATGTAAGCATTTCTGTGCTTTTCCCAAAATGTATCTGGACAGAGGGATGTCACATACATTTTGAAAAATACGCAGAAATGCTTATATTTTGGAACGTCACATACATTTTGGAAAATACGCAGAAATGCTTATATTTTGGAACGGAGGTTATTCTCGGCCACTTGTCTGTTCAATTAGTGTAAGCCAGATGGGTACAAGTAGATAAGTAGCCTAATTCACTGTAATAATCCAAACCAATTATTGTGTTTTTTCTATGGCCCCAACCAAACGAACATCTCAACAAGGTTTTCCAATTCTCTATTTTGCACATCTATTCCTATCCTATTCCTTTGTTTTTCCTATTTCTATGTTTTTTCAATCCTGTGTTTCAAAGGGGCGTGTATTTCATCTAGCTTCAGCAATAACACAAAAAACAAATATTTCAAAGAACATGTAACCCTGCTATCAAGCATGCTTTATTTAGTGGTACCACTTGTCATTCTCCAATGCAGCCCCACAGCCCTTTAAGTGTTGTCAACCATGCTTGTTATTGGTGATTAACATGTGGGACCCAAGCATCTCCAACAGAGTTGCTATTTTTGGCTCTCCAAGTGTCCATTTGGCCGGTTTGGCAAAAAAAAAAAAAGAGTTAAATTTGCCTCACTCCAACACCATCTCCATTACACTCACCAATTTGACAGTAGGTCCCACATGTCAGTCAATTTACTTATTTTTCCTCCCTCCCTCTAGATCTTTCCCCTCCCCACCATCTTCCCTCTCCACTCGATGGCAGCAGGCGAGCACAGGCCACAGGAGGACGGGCGGCAACAGTGACATAGAGTAGCAGGGATGAAGCCCGCATCAAGGTGACCGAGGGGAGGCTCGACGTCCCACTGGCCGGTGTTGATAGCACCGTGCGGAGAGGATGACCGAGGGGAGCTAGTAGCCGACAACAGATTGGGGTGGCCACGGGAGCTTCTGTCAGTGGCGGAGAACGGCGCAGGAAGGATGCACAGCCTACCGCGACACCACCGCTGGCATGGTCTCCTGCAATTTTGGTGAGAGAGAGAGAGAGAGAGAGAGAGAGAGAGAGATGGGGTGGAGTGGTGGGGCCCACGTTGGCAAGGCAGCAGTGAGCAGTGCGGTTTGGCAAGGCGGAGCGCAGATTTTCACCAAAATTACCAAATTTTGCCTTAGAGAGTCATTTAGCAATACTGTTGGAACTGCTCCCTGATAACAGATTTGCACTTCCTCCTGCGTTTTCAAGAAAAAGATAACAGATTTGCACCTTGTGTTTTTGTAATTTCCTTATTGTTGAACTAGGTGAAATTCACACTAAAAAGTTCTAGCAAAGCTGCATTTCAAAAATAATAGTTGCAGTTTTGTGAAATTCATTCTATTACAAATTAAAAATGAAAAAAATGAAAATCATATGTCCAAGGATTACCTTTCAATATCTGTGGGGGAAACTATTATAATAAGCCTTGGCTTAAAGGTTAATACTTTGTCAACAAATTTGTTCGCTGAAACGGCTTGGATATCAAGAGGAAGGTCCAGGACCATAACCTGCTCAGGACAAAAGATTAATATTATAAGTATGCCAGATGCTTATGCCTGTAAAGTAGGATACAAAACATACTAGATTTAATCCATGAGGTAAATCCTTTGGTTGCATGGTCACCCAGTTGCTCTCATCAAAACACAGATTGTTCTGCAAAATATTCATAATCTCCAGTTCAGAATGGCAAAGCTATCTAAGTAAACATTACTTTTTTTTTTATGAAATTAGTAAACATTTACTTGGAGAAAGAAGGATAATTGCTGAAGGGACATTGTTATTGCGAAATGTAAAGATGTTCACGAATTCTTGAGAAAGGGTAAAAAAAAATCTCATGCTGAAAGATAATATGTCCAATGTTGAAGTATTTAGAAAAGAGCAAAGCACATAGTCTTGCTTTTATTCACCTTATGTTGGAAGAGATCATAATTCTTGAAATTGCACCCTTTAGACACATCTTCAAGCTTTTCTTTCATCAGTCGACTAAAATTATCCATGTTGAAGCAGAGATCAACTATCTACCATTGTAAATAATAATAAACTAATGAGTTTTCACATAAAACAGTTATACACAAATTAATACAAACATATTGAAGATTTTGTTCAGAGGAAGAAGATTATTGTTTATTATCATTCTACAACTTCCTTTTTGGTATACTGGACTTGTGAAAAAAAGTTTTGTGGTGCCGACAAGATTGGAATCTATCTCAGCCTCCACTACCTCCCTCACGACAACAATGGACCTCTCTAATAACACCCCATCTGGCAATTTTCCACAGCTTTCCTGGCAAGTGACCACCATATGCACAACAGGACTTTGTGGAACAAGATATTGGTGATGATACAACTATACAACTGGCACGATCAGGGCAGCAGGGCACACACGGTGGTGAAAACAGGGCCAAGGTTGTCAATTTTGGACACAGCTACAAAATGATTCAGCATGGTTTGAACAAATAACTAAATAAGGTGCTTTTTATTGCATTAAGGGAGAAAATAATCAAATGAATTTTGAGGAAAGATAGTGAGAAAGGAGAGACACAGCTACAAAATGATTCAGCATGGTTTGAGCAAATAACTAAATAAGGTGCTTTTTATTACATTAAGGGAGAAAATAATCAAATGAATTTTGAGGAAAGATAGTGAGAAAGGAGAACTACAAATTTCTTGACCAGGGGATATGACAAATTGACAATAAATCTCCACAGGGCAAAGAAAGTTTGTACATTGGAGCATTCTCATTGCTAGGATGAAAAGGACAGTGGCATAGATGAAAAATGTTGATTGACATGGCAAAACAACAGATGGCATGGGCTTATTACCTAGGAAGGCACATCCAAAACCTCGGTGCTAGATGGATGACAACATGACCTTGGTGTCTATGAGACAGGCATGCAATTATCCAAAATAATGAGCGAGCATTGATGCAACAGAGGGTCTGCATCTCAGAGTAGTGGCTACAGATGGCCACAGGGAGCCATCATTCACAAAAGACAGCAGTACACTGGGCCATGATGTTTACATTGAAGGGGGATCTCAAACAAATATTAGATTCATGCAGGGAGATATTGAAATTTGAAACATAAATGGCAGGGCTCTGAGCTATGTGGTTTCAGTAACAATATGAGGTTCTTCTACATATATATTTTTAGTGCATGTTGCCAGGTTTTTATGGGGTCAATTCATATCACCTTTCCTTTAATCTCCTTTGCAAAATGCAGTCAACATGTTTCACAATTGGCTAGCAAATCTAAACCCAAGTCAAATATGACAAGTTGGTCCAGGCTTTTGTCAAAATGATGTTGTCCCATCCCTAGTTTATGTATATTCATTATGATGTATATAAATGATCCATTATCTAAAATGTATGAACAATTAGGCTGTGTGCATATCATGCAATGGCAGGAAATATGAACTTTTCCATTATATAAAAAAAAATTGAAACAATGATTCGATAAACTTTATGAAAATTTATTCAGAGAATCTTAATTAAGTTTATCCTTGCAAGCCTATAAAGATACAGGTACACCTGCCACGGTGTGGTGAATCTGATCTGCCATTCAAATTATGTGAACGTTCAGTGCAGGTCCAAGGAAACAACAATATGCAAACATACAATGCATGCAACTTTCTTATAAACTAGCGGCTATAAAATATGGAACTATGGAAGACCATAATATACATATCTATTGCACTATAAAACAGTAGAAAAAGAACCTGCCTATGCTCTACAGTGCTAGAAATTACCATGTTAATCAAAGTAAAGAGAAAATATGTCACAATTGGTTTTGGTGGTCCAATTATGGTAATTACAGTTAAATAAGAAATACAGTGAATTTCAGCAATGAAGATAGGAGTTGTGTAAACATGTATACTACCTCCGTCCCAAAATATAACCACTTTTGGCTACGAATCTAGACAAACAGTTGTCTAGATTCATAGCTAAAAATGCTTACATTTTGGGACAGAGGGAGTATGTAGGTGGTTGATTATTCTAATATAATCATGTTTAAGTTGGATTTGTGATATTTTTTCATATTAACTTTAGATATTGTAGTCAACATAGATTATAAACATACCGTGTTGCCAGGCTGCACATACCAATGAAGTTTATCAGCAATCTAAAACAAAGAGAAAGGAACCAATGAGCCATATAACTCCAAAGCATCAACAAGTTATTTATTACAAATGCATGCTGCTTAATGGACCATGATCATTTGGCAGGATAATTATTTGTCGAGCTAAGTCCGATTAATCCTCAAATTTGAATCGCAGCAATCTTGACCAGGCACACATGAGCAAAAAAAGTTTAGTGTTTTTTACTGTAAACTTGTTGACCACCAAAACAGGCGCCAATGGTCAAAAACTAACTCTACTAACAGTTCTCCGACTAGAGGCCAGTCTTAATCAGTTTTGTTCACTTAGTGAAATTTTAGGCCCCAAAACAATAATGCACAATTAATAGCTTATGAACCAAGCATAGCTCAAAGGCAAACAGGCCAATCAACATAGGCTATCTTATTTAACTAGTAAAGGAGTGAACTTTGGTCCAGATTTTTCATTTTACTAACTCATTGATAATAATTTAAGGATGAACATGCATTTCACTTCTACAGTCAAAAGCATACAGTAGCTGGTGTGCAAACTTCTTTGCCATCGTAATTCATAAGTACAGCCTAGAGTGAAGTAACAACCACTAGTAATTGTCAAATGGGGAACCCAGTCACGATTGTGGATGCTTAAACTTTTAATCTGTAAATACCTGAACCAAACACTCTGACAAACCATCTATCTCAATCCTGGGCTGCCTCAGTACATCCTTTGTAGCCATATCTTGGGATGTCCCTGCAGATATTTCCTTTTCTGCTGTACTTGTTACCCTGAAATGGTGATACCAAAAGATCCATATCACTTGTAAGAATCATGTGGTAAGCCTGTACAGCAGAATGATCAAAGGAAAATGAAGAAAACAATTCAGAAGCAGGTCTCAGTTGATGAAATCATTCACATTAAATATATTAAGAAGTCAGGTTTCTTGGAAGGCCCCTGTGTGGGCCACGTTTTAAATTAAGTAATAGCAAGGTCCAAAATGAGCCACCTCTTTTCTGTTTCACCATCCACCGCACAAGATGCACTCTTTGATATTTCCCCCATAACAAATGAAGACGGAGTTCCAGGTTGCCCTTCCTTCCCTTCCACGGTTTTTGCACCACTTAATCTAGCAGAAACATCAACCAGAGGTACTTCAAACTGCAGATCCTTTTTTAAGCGCTTTACTGCACACCCATGTTCTAGTGCAATATGCTCAGATGAGCTATTCCTTGCTACTCTTCTGGTTTGCTTGCTTTCTCCTCTAGGTGACACATTTGCCAACTTAGTGGATTTTGTTGAAAATTTATTACCGCTCTTTTTCCTTTTGCCAGTCACTTTAGCATCCTTCTTAGAAAGATTTTTCGTTTTCTTGATTTTTGGAATAGAAGGGAACTTTATATGCTCCCCACTAGGTGTTCCAGTAGTAGCATCTATTCCATGGTGTCTGCATGAAGTTTTCACAGAAGTTAGTTACGATTCCTTGAGCACCAAGTGCAGATAAAGTATGGAGACTAATGAAGAACAAACTTACAAACAGTAGAAGTAACTCCTTTTTTTAATTTTCCAAGCAAGTTTTGGGGCACCTTTGTCCTTTGTTTCAAAGGAAATTTCGCTGTGAAAAATACCATTTGATGCCATGAGAACATGATAGCTGTACAAAATAAATAAATCAAAAGTAGCTAGACTGGATACCGCACAGCACCTTGGTAAACATTCTGTGTGATATGATCTTGGACAGCGTCTGCAGACTGCAAACTGGAATTCACTTCGTGTCCTGTCCTCCATCTTTGCACATTTAAAGCACCAATGGACAGGGCATGTAAATGACATACCATCTGCGATCATTTCCTCCAATTTACAAGCACCATCAGTGTCTTCAGGCTCAAGTAGCACTGCGATGCACTTGGGGTGGTAGAAGTGCCCACAAGATTCTTTATTACATTGAAACACCTAAAGAATGAAGAGATGTTTAAAATGACTAGAAGAGTCACGAATAAGATAATCTGAGAAAACTATTATTTTAGTAATCAGCATTCAATAGAGTTTACTGTCGACTCTTTCTCCCTGCTAGAATTGAAGTGTCTAAAAGGTAACATTCAATATCCATAATTGCACTAAGGTAGTTTATATCAATATAAAATTGCTATTTGCCATTATTTTTTGACGCCATTTCCGAAAACACACCATTAGATAGCTATTTAGTCAACACAAGAAACGATGGCTTCACACGTCCTCTCCTCTCCCGTTCCCTTTGGCACCTCCCCTACCTCTAACCCCACGCCGATGGCCACTCCAACCTCGGAGAACATCTCCACAGCTGCGCTGCCAAGGCCAGCCCCCTGCTCTCCTCAAGCACCAGTTCCATCCCCTGCTTTGTCCTCAGCCCTAGGCCGGTTGAAGTTTGAACGGTGGTGTGACTCCAGTCCGCCTCTCGATGGCGACGATGTTCTGCCTCTTTCCTTCAAGACGGTTCTTCTTTCGCCAGGGCCGACAGTTCCTACCCCTGCGGCTCGCTCTCCGGCTACCTCGGTGTCAAAGGTGGTTGTGTCTCTGCTGGCGACAGCCTAGGAGGTAAAAGCCTGAGAGGCCCAGCAGGAGACTAAGGTGCTTGCGAGGTTTGCTCCGGATACAAAGGGATGGGTTCGTGTTGAGGCTAGGAAGCCTGCTCCTCGCCGGCCCTCTCGCCCGCCCAAGTCAGTGCCAATGGATTTGCATGGACGTTGCTTCAACTGTTTTTCCATAACCCATTGCACATTCGACTGCCATCATCGTACGGCGTTGTTTCAAGTGTCCCAAGATCGGGCATCACTTGTACGTGTGCCCTGTAAAGACCACGTCGGTGTGGCTTCGCCTGGGTGGGATACCAGCTCCTTCCAACGCCGCCCCATCCATGGCTGAGGCCGCAGTCGCTGACACTCAAGCTTCAGGCAACGTCAACAGCCAAAATGGCCAGCCCAGCGCTGGGTGCTCAAGCACCAGTGTTCAGGCGGCAGGGATTTAGCTGGTGAGCCACAACTAGGGGTGGGCGTTCGGTCTGACCGAAAAATTCGGTCTCGGTCTTCGGTTTTTCGGTCATTTCGGTCTTTGAAAACTCAGGACCGAATTTCATCCCAAAAAACTCAGGACCGGCAAATTCAGTCTCGGTTTTTTCAGTGTCGGTCTCGGTCTGACCGAAATCGCTGGAGAAGTTCGTCGGCTCGGGTGAGGCCGTGGCTACGGCTGTTGCAGCGGCGAAGGCCACGCCGCTGCTCGCTAGGCGCGCCGCTGATGGCGGCGCTCGTCGGGGCCGCGGCTACGGCTGCCGCAGCGGAGGTAGCGCCGATGCGGACGGCGCCGCTCCTCGGGGCCACGGCGGAGGCGGGATGGTTGGAGGCGGCGCTCGTCAGGGATGCGACGGAGGCGGGCTGGCCAGAGGCGGCGCCGATGCTGTGAATGACCGCGGCGCGACGCGTGATGGAGATGGATCGGAGGCGGAGGCGGCGTGATGCGGATGCCTCGTGAGGACTGAGTGGTAGTGGTGGCTTCTAGGGTTTAGTAATTTACTGGGCTTATTGGGCCTCCTAGGCCTATTGGGCCACAATTCTGTTTTCTCGGTTAACCAAAGACAATAACCGAATTGCCCGAAAAAAATTCGGTATTTTCATAGCTGAGATCGAATTACTAACCGAATTTCTCGGTCTCGGTCTTTTCGGTTCGGTTCTTCGGTTCAGTCTTATTTTGCCCACCCCTAGCCACAACCGCCGTCTGGCAGGGGCAGCGTTGAGCCGACGGTTCAGGTGTCTGGGTCCCTTGTCGCCAGCAGTCCGGGTGGTCTTACCATCAAGCCATGGCGTATTGTTGAGAGGACACCAACATATCGCGCATGGTGAATGATATCCGGCGATCCCTGTCAGTTGTCGTGGTTGGAAAGCTGCCATCTAATCCTGAGGAGGTGATTGTCCAAGAGGTGTGCAGGGTTCATGAGCTCAAGGCTGGTTCTTTGGGTATTGTGAAAGAAAATTGTGGAATGGCTCAAAAGATCCAATGTTTCATCATGTATGTGCATTTTATGAAAACTAATGTACCATGGTGCAGAACATTGGCGGGTGAACAACTATTGGACAAATGATAAATTCTCCATTTAACTAAAATAGGCTCAAAGGTCTAGCTATACTATATGATTACATCCTTGCAAGCAAGATCAAAGATGCTACCTTAGCATTTGGACCATAAGATGGCTCAAGCTCTCCGCATTTGAAACATTGATGTTCATTATGTTCACAATTCTCACACAAGAAAGTTCCACTTTCCTGTAAATGCGTAAAGAAGCAGGCAGTCAGAAATGGCCAGGAATAGAAATAAAAAACTGCAGCACCTGTTAGTAGAACCCCAAAGTATACCTTTAGCTTTAGCTCCACAGAAGTGAAACGGAGAGTTCTGCATTTGGATTTCCTGCCATGCTTCACCCTGGCATGGAAGGACCTCTTGCATGGACCTTCACAGCTGCATCAAACAGTAGCTGTAAGCAAAGAATAGAATCAAATGACATTTTGCCATTGATGTACAATAGTATATCCTTAAAGTGCAGGAAGTTCCACGGTATTCTATCAGTGGCTCAGTGCAGAATGAATACTCCACAGGAAAATTGGAATAGTTTTTTTTTCTTTTTTGTTACATGTAATGCATTAAGGAAGAAACATCAGATGCTTAGAGGAAGCAACAACTTGAGAAGATATGGTTCCATCTCCCATAATGAAAAACAGTAAGAATTAACACAATTACTGCAGCAAAATTTATGCTAATGGTCGAAACAGCATTGGAACTCACCAAATAGAACTTTTTAGGAAAAAAATAACCTACCGTAGCACAGAAATCGTTGGTTCTCTAGAAAAACTTAGGGGAGGAATCCAAAAGAAAGGAAATGATGAGAATAAAAGAAAAAAATATAGATGAATATTTAATTATCAACAAACAGGAAGATGGGATATGAAACTCATGTACCAAAAATATTTTCAACATTTTTTCTTGAAAAAAGAAGTTTCAATAATAGCCGCAATGGAAATGGGATTGTCTTACACAAGTTTAACCAGACTTGCAACAAAATAGATGGCATTTCATGGCACCACAACCTATGCCTTGCTGCTATAGACATATGATCTAATAAATGCTCACAATCAACAGGGAAGCTGAATGCCTTGGGTTACCATGTTTCCATACAAACTCCAAAAGTCCAGATTATGAGATTATATGACTTCCATTGCTCATCAAACTCAACCCCAACCACTGCTTTGTGCAAGTGACACAGCTGTATTAATGTATCAAAAGCATAATTTCATTTGTAAGATGCTCTATTCACCCCAAAAGCATGCCACTGCTCACGCTATGTCTAAGGTATAATTCTCTTGCATGAAGTTTCCCATGCCCATAACCCAATTCAGCAGAATTCCTTCAGGCTATGAATTACAGAAACTTTTTTTTTCTCTCTGGCCAAGGATCGAATTTCACCAGTTGACTAAGTACGCAGGTATAAGCAAACTTAGGATAGTACATACATCACTTTCAATTATGGAACAGGGGCAGCTAATAGTTTCACGTTTAACATTCAAGAAAGACCAATAATTTGCACAACTATGCTTTGCAGTTTGCAATGAACCAGATAATAGAATACCGAAGAGCCTAAATTGTGTGAATTCATATACTTAAGGAACAACATGAGGTAAGACAGAAAGATATAGGGAACATGAGAACACATCATGAATAAGAGTAAGAGGCATTGAAGTAAAGTTGATGAGCACAACAGAAAACAAAACTGCACCTACCTAAGCAACTTTCCACCATCATCACATATGGCACATATCATATCTGTATCATCATCAGTTGCATTACCATCAGTATCAGTATCTTCATCAGTACTATCATCATTATTATCATCACTGCTGTCGCTATTGCTGTAGCTGCAGTCATCACTGCTTTCAAGTGACTCATCACTGACAATAAATCGATCTTCTGTACACGCTCTCCTTGGTATGGGCTAATTGATGATGAGTAACAGAAATCAAACACAACACAACAAATTTCTGAAATAGAAATCTACACTAAAGTCTAAAGGATTTTATAAATATAAGAAATTTGAACATATGCATCTGTAGCCTGATTTTCAATAATACTTTATCAAGCAGCAAATTACTATCTAAGGTACCTCAATGGCCTTCCTGGAAGCATCCTCAATAAAGCATCGTATAATCTGTATGCACAAAAATAGTCATCATGACAAACATACGATTGAATTACAGTGGAAGTTATGTAAGCATATGCTGTGACATCCAAGCTAAATTGGGCTAGAATTCATAGAGAGAAGACACGGCCAAGAGGATGGCAGGGTAGTGCCAGCTTAATTTGGGATGTGAGGAGAAAATAGATTGAGATGGCTTAACTTGACCCATAAGATTTTTAGGGGATGCACATAGCTCTGCACATCATTTGTATTAAGATAGGTGAAACTTGACCCCTAAGATGCAATAATTATCTTCAAAGTAGTGTATCTTAATACACGGAATATATATCTATAAGAGGTAAATCTGACTTATAGAGTTTCAGCCATAATGAGCATATCTATAAGCCATAATGAGCATATGGAAGGATATCAGTATGCAATCATGTTCTAAAATGAGATATATGATCTATTGGTCAGCATGTAAGGAATGGATAGGGTGATAGGCACTACAAGGTGGGGTGACAAGGTATGCAATCATGTTCTAAAATGAGATCTATGATCTATTGGGCAACATGCAAGGAATGGATAGGCACTACAAGGTCGGGTGACCACACCACACGAAACCACATACTGTTTTTGAAGTTATGCATAGCGTCTATGCTAAGCCACTAAGGTATTGAGAGTTAGTCTTTACTTTCTTCTAGTATTCATCTAGGACCATGTATATTCATCTAGGACATGGTGAACACCCAAAATTAGGTTCCTGTGTGTTACGTATGACCTTACTATCTAGCTTGAATCCAAGTGACCTGTTTGGCCATGGCCTTCTTGACAGTGCTTTATTGTCTTGCTATTCGAACTTAAAGGGCCCATTTGATCATGGCATTCTAATTTGGCAACTGTCAGAATAAGGCTTCACTCTGATCTGCCTTGTAGCAGAAGTGTGAAATGCTTAATTAGTGAAGTTTATTAATGCTATCAAGAACATACTGTATATTTTACATCATGATTTAATATCCATACCTTCGACTTCACTAAAATTGGATCCCTCTCCATGAAAAGCTTGATTAGATGATGGTGCTTCTTTATGTCATCCCCATTAGGTACAGGACCAAATTTACTACAAGAAACAACAAAAATATAGAAATTAAGATCTTGTTGTGGCATAGCAAAGGAAAAAAGGGAAGGCATGCAGATATAATACTTGAAAACTTCACCGAGGTGATCAAAAAGGCTTCTCTGTTGTTTCTTGGGACACTTCCTGACAAAGTGGAGCATTTGCACTGTGATCAATATTGATCGAACTTTTTTTTCATAATAGCACATCCGTGGTTTCAACAGTTCTATCCATTTCCCGTCACTCGAAAGCACTGAGATCTTTGGCCTCTGACAATCAAGATCTACCCTCCAAGCTATCACCTTCTTGAACACATGACGGTTATTATCTGTAAATCCACGCAAGTTCAGTTCCTTGTAATCAGAACATGAGACTTCTTCGTTCTCATCAAACTTTATGGGCAAGACACTGAAGCAGACTGGCTTGTCCTCGCTTTCCTCAAAATAGTAGATGTCCACATCGTTAACCGGTGGCTCCACGTCATCGTCGTCGTCAAACATAGTGGAGGCTGCTAGATTCTGGCATAGGGAGGGAGAATTTTCAAAAAGAAATCTTGCACCCACAGCTTATATTAAAAGTTATTATCTGTCATAAACAGCAGAACCCGAAATAATTGTCCTCTTCTAAGGATGAGCAGTAAATGATACTACATTGAAGAATATCATAGAGACATTACATACAAAAAAGAACTTAGCAGATTTAGCACTAAGCCACTAAAGAATGAGATATCTTACAGCAATAAGAATTGAGATACATATCACCACGGAGAACAAAAGGTGCCTCTAATTTCTAATCATACAAAAGACAGCTTCAATGAGCATTAAACTGTGAAAATCATTCATGCTTAAATGCTTAATAATCTAGCTAAGATGAAACGGCAAATAAAAATCCTTTGCGGTTACTGCTACAAAAGCATGAAGAATTCCAAAATGAAATCGCACACAGTACACAGAAACAGCAGGCAAGAAATTATCCCAAATTAGTTGAGGAAAATCCGCCGGAATAGCACCAATATTTGCGCTGGAAGAAGCTCACAAAAAATGCCGCAGGAACGATATGCTCCGGGAGGCGATCCTACAAGTAGACGTCTCGGAGAAACGGCTCTACTCGCATTCTAAAAAGAAAGGGGAAAACACTGTATCGAAACAGAACAGGAAACCCCAGCCAAATCCCCCACAAGTAAAGAAGAGCGATCGATTCTTGACAACAAACCCAGCAAGAACCGAACAAATCTCTCAAAGAACACGTATCCACCAGAAATCGCAGCGCCAAGAAACCAAAAAGAAAAGCATCACCACCACCCCCAACCCTCCCAAGAACCCCAATAATACCACCCCCAAAGAACGGACACGGCGCAAGAACCCCGCCGGAATCGGAGGCGCACGAACGCCACCCTAACCAACACCCCAAGACGCTGCGCCGGCACTGCGAGGGATCGGAAGGAGGGCGAAGAAGAAATCCGCACCTGGAGCGAGCGGAAGCGGTTTCCCTCTCCTCCCGGCCGCAGCGAGCAGAAGCAGCAGCAGCCCAAAAGCACGCAGGAGCGAAGGATTGAGAGAGAGAGAGAGCGCGGAGGTTTGTTCGATGGCTAAAATAATTTGGTTTTCGGGGAGTCGCCACGCCACCTCTTGTGCTGCATGTAGCGCGTCGGCCGCGTGGCGGTGGGGTTAGGGGTGAAATCGGGTCGGGTTCGGTCGGACCTCACCCTTCCCATATTCTAACCTATATTTTATAATCGGAATCGGGTTGGATACGGATAGTATTGAATACGAATATAAGCACGGATAATACCGGGCACATATATGAGACGTATACGTACCGAGACGGATACGGCCACTATCGGTTACGAATATCTATTCGCATATCAAGTCAAAGCAACGATCATGTATACTATGTAGACAATAGCTATTCAACCATCCCATATATGCATAATGCGACTATATTAAGTTATTATGGCTTAAGATATAGGAGCAATACGGCAATGAACAATCGATTTTTAACTGACTTGTGATGAGCTGCTAATTTCCTGCTCCGGAAGAGACGAGGATCGGCTGGCAGCAAAGGCAGGGCCGGCCCTAGGGGGGGTCAGGCTGTGCGGCCGCCCGAGGCCCCCAAAATCTAGGGGCCCCCTATGCACATACAGTATATATACTATGTATTGTATAATTCTAGTCCACGTGCCATGGATCTATATTAAGTTAGATAGCTGAATAGCCTAATACAGAAAATGAATTTTAGTCCATCGTTAGGCCTGTTTTAGCGAAGCTGAAGCAATCTTCATTTGACTCCCGTCGCTTTGCCTTGATCACATCACGCCACTCACGTCATGCCGCCTCGATCACGTCATGCCGCTCGTTGCTCACTTCTCGGCGTCTCGCAAACGAAAATAGCAAGTTGGCAAATCGCGACTCGTCAGTAACCACGCTCGTGTCAATCGTCCGCCGGTCGACTTCTCTGCTCGCTACTACTATTTATTTCTCATTGGAGTTTTAAAATGTTATATATAGATAATTTTGTCACATCGAATATTAAATGGTATGTATTTATCAGACTATATAAATATATAAATTAGTTTATGTATATATGTAGGGACCTCCATATAAGTTTTTGCCCTGGACCCCCAAAACCCCAGGACCGGCCCTGAGCAAAGGAAGCGAGGTTGATGCTGGAATGGAGCCAAAGGGGCTGCAACAGGTTGGTGGTGGCCACGGCTCAACGGCCGCAGCAAGTGGCGGCGCGACGGGTGCTGCACCGGCGGTGCTCGCAGTGTCAGCGTCATTGCTTAGTGGCTGTGCGTTTGTCTCCAAAATCAATTTGCATCCTCTCATTCCTAGTCCAAAGATTAGTTAACAGTGATTAGTATTTTTGGTTGTTGGGTTCTTAAGCATGGATTATTGGTTGATGGTGTACTAGTGGGCCTTTTGGCCACTATTGCTTTAGTGGGCTAGGCATGTTATCCGGTATTATCCGGATATTAACCGGGTATACCCGTATTTTTTACCGGATAATTCGTATCCGTCGGATACCGTCCTCCCGAACCTGATCCCATATCCGATATAAAATACCCGTATTCGAACCCGCTACCCGTAAAAACTTCCGGGTACCCGAATTTCTGACCCGAAATTGTCCCGAAATAATACGGCCGGGCGGGCGGGCGGGAAATACCACCCCACCACTTGACAACTCCCTCCTCTTGGATTGCGAACGTTTTAATTAAGGCAAAATCTAAACCTATAAGTCTCGGTTCAGTGTTAACTAGCGATGAACCAATTGTGAGAAGAAGTACTACTACACGTGCTGACGTGCATGCTGTTTTTCCTTTTACACATGCATGTCTTTTTCTTCCTTCTTATAAAGTTTTCTCTCAAATTATTTATCCGATCTACAATCCGATTATACCATTGTGTTCGTTATAATTAAATCTTTACAACAAAATCTTATCTGACTATATTACGATGAAAAAAAATTTATATTTGTAAATTAATTTTATTATATACGTAAGTTACTTTTATCATATATATAAAAGTTACTTTTAGATTTTACTAAGTTACTTCTTAGACATATAAAAGTAAATTCAATAAAGTCTATAAATAATTTACATATATTATAAAAGTATCTTAAAACAAAATGGAAGTAACTTTGTAACAACATTAGAAGTAAATTCGTTATAGGGATAAAAATATGACTTTATCTAGATATTAAATTTAATTAGCATAGATCAACACATGTAAGTTTAACATTTTTTAAAAGTAACTTCAATGCTAATTGGAAGTAACTTTTGAATGGTTCAGAAGTAACTCTCTATAAACAGAAATCTGTTTGATCACCGATTATTTTTTTCCTTTCATTTTTGTTTTTTATGTAGAATGAGAAAAGAAGATAAAACCTTTGATGGATTGTAAATAACATTGATGGAATAAATAATAAGAATTAACCATGTATAAGATGTAACAGTTACTTTCTAACATGTAATAAATTACTTTTAAATTAATAAAATGAGAATATATTCAATATGAACATCGTTTTGTCACATATTTTGAGTGGAGTACAATGATGCAAATAGATCTTAAAAACAATATGTGATTTAAAATATATAAGTTATTAAAGAGATTAAAAAAGATACATACTATTGGAGTACAAACCAGCAGTCACGTCCAATGAAAAAAAGGCATGCATTAAAGTTACTTTCCTTTTGTTTTTTATAAGTTACTTCTATAATATATGTAAATTACTTTTTAAGCTTTATTTAATTTACTTTTATATGTCGAAGAAGTAATTTAGATATATTATAAAAGTAATTTATAATTTTTCATCAAAATATAATCACATGAGATCTTGTTATAAAGATTTAATTCTTACGACCACAACGGTGTAATCAGATCGTAGATCGGATGAGTAGTTTAAGAGAAAATTTTATTTGAAGTATAGGTGGATAGAGTCTCTCATAAATAAAGTGGTAGTTGGTTTAGACAAACCAGCTACCGCTAGCTGTGTAGTCACGTCCTTTAATTAATCCAAAACGCAACAAACTTCGTGCGAGTTCCGTACATCGTTTAGGATTTGATTTTGCAACAAACGTAATACGAGACCGCTTATGATTAATCATATACGGAGAATTAATTATTTAAAAAAAATAGTTTTTTCAAAAACCAATTATGTATAAAAGTTTTTTTTTTAAGAAAAGACACACTATGGTCCCGTTATTTTCTCCAACAAAAGTTGGATGAATATTAAGATTTTCGTGGCACGCTTTTTAAACTGCTAAACGGTGTATGTCGTGCGAAAACTTTCTATATGAAAGTTGCTCTAAAATATCATATTAATATATTTTTTAAGTCTGTGATAATTAAAACCCAATCAATCATACGTTAACACCACCACGTTTTACATAAAAAAAAACTTAATCTTCATCTTCATCTTCATCTACAGGAGAAAAGAACACCACCTATTTAGTAATTTGGAAAATGCGCTCATGAAAAATGAGGAAGTTGCAAAAGAAAAATGTCCTCTTGAACTCAGCCTTAGTCAATATAGGGTAAGAGCAAGACCATATTAGGTCCCCAACTATGAGTTGAGTTTCATAAACATCCACTAAATACAAAATCGGGTATATGACATCATCTCTGACTATTAAAACCAATTCAAATAAAGTTCTTGAGCAGTTTGTATGGTAATTTTGGTTGATGCGGCGCCAACTTAACATGTTTGACTTAGTCTTCATCCTATATGGTGTTGACGTGATGTTTATGTGGTACCATCCACGCAGTAACACCCTGAAAATTCTCGACAATAAAAATCACTAAAATTTATAACTTTTTAAAGCTTTTGCATCATGCTGGATGTTATGGTTGTTATTGCTTGCTGAACCATAAATCGACACAATGGAAAAAATCAAATCAAAGATGCACATCTAAATAATAAATACAATTTACATGAATATATTATTTATTATTAATCCCATAAATATTTATGCAAAGCCAAATAAAGTAAGTCAATTATTAATTTCTATAATATAAATTACAAATCAAATATTAAATATTCGAATCATTTTGATAGCGTGATGTCATACTTAACTAAAGGAAATAGTAAGATTGAATCTAATTCATTTGGATCCAATCTCACATGAAGTATAATAAGTACACATGAAATAATGGTTGCCACCATAATGACCCTATCTATATTTCACTCGAATATTACATTAATATGTAAAACACTTGATCAAGTCTCTCATGACATAAAACTCACTTCTGTGTAAAATAATTAGTTGTATAAATGAATTGAATTCTCCATATAAAATAGGCTTACATGAGTATTTGGTTCAATGTTTAGATCGATATCGCACCAAGTCTCAGAATACCTTCATAGAATAAAAATTAAACAGAATAAACCTATTCGTGTAAAATATATTGTTATACAAATAACGTCAACCAACGTGCTATTGTATTAATGAGGGTCACATTAGAATATTTTAATTAATTTTAGAAATATCATTGCCTCCAAGTTATACCTAATAAATTTTGGATAGTATAAGTTAAAGTAAATTTATTTGGTAAGTAATGAATAATCAAGTAAATAAATAAATAAATATTCAAATCAAATATTTGAATTCTTAAATCCAAAATATGTAGGGTTACATCTCAATTCAAAATTTCAATCCAAGCCATTTTGCTGATTAGCCTTCCCCTTTCTCTTTTTTTCCTTTTCTTCCTTTTCCTTTTCTTTTCTTTTTCGGTCGGTACTATTCATTGCCCGACATGTGTTCGAGTCGGTCCCAGCCGTTCGACCGGGTCGCCATCGCCCCTGCACGCGCCGCGAGCCGCCGCGCGCCGCATCGCCATCGCCATCGCCCGTCGCCATCGCCCGTCGCGTCGCCCTTGAGCCCCGCGCCTCACCCCACACAGAAGTCGCGCGTGCGCTGTCCCATCGCTGTGCCCCGCGCCGTGCGCCGCGCGAACGTCCTGTCGCCGCGCCATGCCATGTGCGCCTATGCCCTAACCGCCTCTAGCCCAGCATCTAGCCGTATTGGCCATGATCTGGCGGCCTTACCCTCCCCGCCATCCTTCTCTCCGCCTTTTTCCACGAATACATTTCGTCGAACACCTTGGGCGCGTGCTGCAGCTTCTTCTCCGCTCCACCACCACCGCCGAACTTCGTCATCCCGCCGTCTCTCGGTAAGAACTCGCTCCTACAGCCTCTCCTAGTCCCGTTGAAGCTAAGTCCCTCGTTAGTTTTGGAGATTAGCGCCCGAAGCCGTGCCGGTCCGGCCACTGTTTCGCTGCCCGCGAGCTCGCCGTGGACAAGCCCTCCCGGAGCTCCTCTTAGCCATCTCATGAGTAAAACGGAACCCCCGTACGCCGTAGATGCTCATGCCACCATCAATTTGGTCGGAGGCCTCGCCTATCGCCCAACCCCAAACCGCCCCGGAGCTCGGCCATTTTGGCCATGCGGTGCCGCTCGCTCCCGCGCCGCCCTGCGCCGTGGCCGCCGGCGGGAGGTCGCCGGAGCCTCGCCGCATATTCCCCGGCCACCGCCGTGCCGGCCTCGCGCCGTCCCGGCTGCGCCCAGCCGCGCCCCCGTGCTGCCTCTCGCTCGGGCTGGAGGTTGAAGACGACCTCCAGCCGAGCCGCTGACAGGCCGGGCCCACTCCTAATTTTTCTCTAGGAAAAATAATGCGGTGGAAAAAGGAATAAACCCGAGGTCCCACATGTCAGATTATAAAATTATACACTGAGATAATCTTTAACTATAATATTAGGACATGACTACACAGCTAGTGGTCGCTAGCTACCACTCCATCTATAAAAGGCACTATCCACCTATACTTCAAATACAATTTTTCTCTTAAACTACTCATCCGATCTACGATCCGATTACACCGTTGTGTTCGTAACAATTAAATCTTTATAACAAGATCCCACATGATTATATTTTGATGAAAAATAATAAATTACTTTTATAATATATTTAAATTACTTTTAGATTTCACTAAATTACTTCTTAGACATATAAAAGTAATTCAATAAACCCTAAAAGTAATTTACATATATTATAGAATTAACTTATAACAAAAGAAAAGTAACTTTAACTAATACATTTTTCATTGGACGTGACTACACAGCTAGTGGTAGCTAGTTTGTACACCATCTAGTATCTCCTTTCAACTTGAACCATGCAAAAGTTACTTCCAATTAACATTGAAGTCACTTTTAAAAATTGTTAAACTTACGTGTGTTTATCTTTGCTGATTAAATTTAATTTCTAGATAAATTCATATTTTTATCCCTACAACGAATTTACTTTTAATGTCGTGACAAAGTTACTACTTTCAGACTTTATTGAATTTACTTTTATATGTCTAAGAAGTAATTTAGTCAAATCTAAAAGTAATAAAAGTAACTTAAGTATATAATAAAAGTAATTTACAAATATAAATATTTTTTCATCGTAATATAATCATGTAAGATCTTGTTGTAAAGATTTAATTGTAATGAACATAATGGTATAATCGGATTGTAGATCGGATAAGTAATTTGAGAGAAAATTTTGTTTGAAGAGAAAAATGACATGGGGGAGAATCTGTAACCTTTCTCTTTGTGACTTCTTTCTCAAACAGGAATTACGTGTGCATGTGGTTGGAGTGGTTTCATCTTGATTCTTATCTAGAAAGGCCCATGCAGATGGATTCAATGATGACGCGAGCGATCGGACGGCTCTGCCAGCGTCGCGCGATAGCGCTAAATCGAGAAGACTCTCGAATTAGATTTTACGATAATATTATTAACATTCTATAATTTATAGTGATAAGCAAAGTATGATCGTGACTAAAATAATAACTCCATTAATAAAATAATACTAATGATTCACTGTGATTATTTGATTGATACTAAATCCATCCGACAACATAACCTCTTGTATATGACCGTTTCATTTGGGTACATGTATGTATAGCCATAATCCTTCCATAGCCATTTGCTAGACTAAACCATAGATTAGCCAAATATGTATCCCATTACCAATAGAAAGAGTAAGAATCTTAGCCATTAGCATGATTGGAATCCATTAGCAAGCCGGAATAGTATGAGTAACCCTAGGTACAACCCTAACATTTATATTTTGTTTGTGCACATGTGATTGTTGTTTGAATATTGGTTTTTCTCGCGCATGATAGACATTGTATATCGGTTAGTCGTGAGGCAACGTATGCAGCTTCCAGGAGATGAAGATTGATCAAGATTGTATCAAGAGTAAGGACTATCCTGAGCAGGCAAGTCATCACCCTTCCTTGAGCATGTTGATCCTAATTGCGAAATTGTTTTGTTTACAAATAAAATTGCATGCAATGATGAATGAAATTGTTTACGCTGCCATCGTCGTCTCACGCGGCCTCCGCGACGCCGGCCTTCGCTCTTCCCTGAGGAGGAGGAGGAGGAGCCCACCGACGAGAACGCGCTCACGTTCTCCTTCCAGATCTCCCGCTTCGGTGGTTGCAGCGGCCAGATCGGCTCCTCCTCCTTCCTCAGCGGCGGCGAGATCTACCTTATCGACAACTCTAAGGATTCAAGAGCAAATGTAAGAAGCGTAAAGAATGGGGAAAAACTTGGGGATAATCTGAATTCGAGGTGGCTTCTCTCCTAACTGGATTTGAAGAGGAAAGATTTGAGGTGGCTAGCATCTTTGATGGTGTCGCCGGCCGCCGAACATCCTCCTCTCCCGCCGGCCTCTGTCGGGGAGCTCGACGCCACAACGCTCGGTTGGAGCTCTCTTTCCCTCTCTCGGCGCCATCGCGCACGGGGTGGAGCTCGACGCCGCGGCGCTCGGTCCGCCCCCGGGCTCAACCCCATCCTCGTCGGTGTCGGCCCCATCCACGTCAGTGCCGCACCAAGTCGCTGCCGCATCGCCTGTCATCGGCCACCAGACGAGGAGCAAAGTGAGAGAGAGGAATGGAGAGAAGAGGGGAAAGAGATTGTCCTACGTGGCATCCTGACATGTGGGACCCACGTGGGTCCAATGCTGACTCTAGCCGCCACATAGGACAAATCCGGCATCAATACTGCCTTGGGACCTTGGGTGATCGGTTTTGTATAGTTAAGGGACCCCACATATCTGGTTTTGTGGTTCGAGGACGTTTTTTTATCTCGCTGACAAGTTGAGGGACCTTCGGTGTACTTTTTCCTTCCACGGAAAGCCACGAACCGGGCTATTGGAACGGATAAGCTTTGCAGATTTGAACTTGGCCCACTTTCAAATTGGGCTGAACATTGGCCTGACTAATTTTAGAACTTCTCTTAACTAAGAACCACCGGTAGAAACATTTGCTCGAAAGCCAACGTAGTAGCTTGATGGACTGCTAAACGTTGTAAGTTGTAACTACTTCATTCCAAAAGTAAACACCCCACTAAAGTCCGATGGAAGTCTATCTAGCATCCTAAACTTTAAAATCAGACATCTAGCCCCCTAAACTTTATAGTACCGTTTATATTACCTTCTAAGGTGGTTTTGATCGGCGGTTTTGCATATTTGAAAGCTTACACAAGTGGTTTTGAATAACTAATATTTAAGATATCTAATATACATATTCAAATATGATTAATTGTAGGCCATCAATTTATACTTCCTTCATCCCAAAATTTTACTACATAACATTGGATGAGACACATCGTAATACTATGAATCCGGACATATCCATATTATTGGGACGTGTCCTATCTTCTAGTATTAGCTCCTAATAGTTTGGGACGAAGGTAGTACTATATAGTGATGCCATACTACTATGATATTGGTATTCATTTCGTAAGTAAGTGAACAAAAGATAATGTATATGTCACATGATCGAACTCATCCAACTTGTTACAAATTAGATGAAACCACTCACCAGCAGGGGAGAAGCCACTTACTTAATTTACTCTACTTTAGATTGAGTATAAACTGATGCGGTTGCTTAAGTTTGTATTGAGGGGGATGCATACATGATGAAAATAGATGAGGTATAGCTAAAATTTTTTTACCGGGTTCCTGGGCACCCCCTAATATATACTAGCTCCGCCCCTGCTCACCAGAACCACTTTAGGGGTTATATAAATAGTATTGTAAAGTTCGGGGGTTGTATGCCTAGTTCCAAAGTTCAGGGTACTAAATAATTTTTCAATCAAAGTTTAGGGTGGTATTTGGACTTTTATTTAAATATTTATATGTTCTTTAGTAGAGATTAATGATGAGAAGAAAAGATGGTTGGAGGTACTACCTCCGTCCCAAAATGTAGCTATTTCTAGCAAAGTACTTTGTCCCAAAATGAAGCTATTTTTCTACCTACCTTCTCCTCTCAACCAATCACAAGCATTCTTTTTCACCTACTTTCTCTTTTCAACCAATCACACACCTTCTTCAATCATTCTCACCTACTTTCTTAATACCTGTGCCAACCTAAAAAATGTTTACATTTTAGGACGGAGGAAGTATGAGAGTTGTGAATAAAATGAAAAGAAGTTTAAATAAGATGTGACTGATGGGACAAGTAGATCAATAGTATTTTTTATATTTGTGAACAGACTTCAAACGCTTAGAATGCTAATATTTATGTATAGATGGAATATATAAAACTAGACTAGCAGAAGTTGACTATTACATGAGATATGAAATGTTTTTTTCCCTTCCCACTACAATTCATAAAGTTGTAGAAGATCACATAAATCCTATATTTCTATATTGTAGCCCATTATATTTAAAGCTCAATATGCAAAAATATCACGTCATCATCCATTAATAATTATTGTCTTAAACCTCATGCAAGCATGCAATATTATATATAGTTTATTATATTTTGCAACTTTAAAATGCAAACATGTCAAATCATCATCCCACATAATTTACATGATATTTCAATATATATTTATCCATCATTTTTTTCAATATCCTATATACTTGTATACTTCATCTTCATCCTCACTTAGTTAATATGATTTCTCTCATCTCATTAAGCCATATCATCTAAATTATTTCTAGTCCTTAGATGATTAATCAATAATCCAAATTATTTTCCTCTTTTCTTCTCTCGTAAAGCCACATCACCTTACTTTTGCATTTGGATTATCAATCTAAAAATATAGAACTAACCTTTCACGGTATTAGAAGTAAATTTACAGATAGAGGGAAATAACTTCAAGAAAATAGAAGTAACTCTTCACGTAATAAAAGTAACTGTGCTACTAGAAGGAATTAACTTTTCATGGTATTCGAAGTAACAACACCACTAGAGGAGTAAAAAATAAGAATAAATTTTAAATAATCTAAATATAATAAATATTAAACTCATTTTGTCATGTATTTTAAGTAGAGTATGATGGTTTTTAATCAGATCTTAAAAATAATTTAGGGTTTAAAAGTTATAAGCCACCAAAAGTTTTAAAAATACTAGTGCAATGTAACGTGCTAGATTCAGTAGATGTGAACTGAATGGTGCTAATAAGTGGATGTGCACTCTTTTTTTTTTCCCAGAAAGCTGCATATGGGTGGGTGGGGACGTGGTGTTTCTTCAGTAAGCTGTGCGATGTTCGTTGGGTTGAACACGATACTAATTATGGAAATAAGGAGAGTCGTGCTTAGACAATCATGCAAATGCGCGCGGTGTACATGCGTCCATTTCTTAACCAGTATTTTCGAACAAAAGCACTTTTGTTGTAAGATTTCTTTTTGATGCTCACAAGTTAGTCAATTTGCCAGCCTCTTTTTGCCCTGTTCAGATTGCGGTTATCTCTCGCGACAAGGTTTGAGTCAAATTACTCAGAAACATTATCATCTAGTCTACTATATAATTTTTGCTTGCTGCTATCTGTTACTACTAAACATCACCAATTGCTACTGCATTGTTAGATAGGTGGAAATTCTTCTTACACATTGTTAGATAGAGGGAAATTCTTCTTACCTATACTACTCCGACACTTGTTCGTCTGTAAGCCTGCTAATGGGCTAAAATCCACCCCACAACCAACCCAATCCACCTCCTGTGAAAGCACTCTAACAAACCAGCCCGCTCCATTTTCCCACCTCTAGCATCCAAACCAATCCAACCCACAGGAGATTTAAAACCAATCCAACCCAACCCATTGTAGCCAAGTGGGTTGAATCCATTTCAAACCCATGGAGTCTGGCATGGATTCACTGCAGGAAGCAGGCAGCTGCGTCGCCGGCTTCTGAGGAGCAGGGCCGTTGCTTGCCAATCTCAATTCCGAAGAACGAGAATGCTGACGATGATGGAACAGAGGTAAGCTGCTTAGCCTGCTAATTAATCCCCATTTCCTTCTCGATTTGTTGTTATTTTTCATTAGAACCAGTCACTAATGATTTTACGTGTTTATTTGCAGTCGTCATGCCTCATATGTTTGATAGGCTCGGTAAGCTTCCAAAATCTTCAGCAAAAATGATCTTTTCGTGCTTGATCATCTGTTTAATTATTTACTAACTAGTTACTCATGTTGTTGCTTGTGGTTAAAAACTGATGCTGATTACTTTTATCTCTGCATATTCAGAATGGGTTGGGTTTGATTGATTATTTTCGTCAAGCTGCAGCCTCACAACAATATAGGCTTCCACTGAAGCCCTAGAAGACCAAGATATATTAGCTCTTCAATCCTTCATGCCTGCCTTTCTGAAGATTTCAGCAGAAAGAGAAAAGCTGATCACTTTCGTGAGATTTAGTTACATGGATACTTCAAATCAAAACTCCCTTGCAGTTCATCTGCTCATGGCTACTGATCTGATGATCTCTTGTCCTGTTCTTCCTCTTAAAATTGATGCAGGCTGCATCATTTATTACTAGCTTACTACACCATTTCTCTCTACGTCATGATTCGCGAATGGGAAACAACAGACGAAGCAAGGTTAGGCAGGTTGCGGACGGGCGGCGGCA